GGGGTGTATTCTGGGTTGGAACCTACAGGACGAGAGAGATGAGGAACGGAGAGGCTCAGGGGCCTCCTGGCTGCAGGCCCAGGCCGGGGGGAGGTCGGGGCTGCAGGTCCTGGGGTGGAGGCGGCCGGGAGAGGAGAGGCCGGAGCCGGGTCTGCGCAGATTCAAGGTCTCTGTCTCCAGGCGCTGCGCGCATGGCCTGTCACACACCCGCGAGGGCGTGTCCGGGTGTTGAGAAGGCGGGTTGGTGTGGAAGTTGGAAGCTTGGGAGGGAGCTGGGTGCTGGGCCATTCTATCCCATCCCCCCCAGCGGGGAAGAGGGTTTCACCTGCTCCGCACCGTACTGACGGCCATGGATGGGCCACCTGGGAGGACAGGTCAGGACAGAGGACAGTCGTGGGAATGGACTCGGATGACATTTCATTTCTCATGCAACTCTGTGCCCGCCCCCCGAGAGTTATTGTCTTTTTTCTCTTATCTGCTTAGTTTTCTTTTTTCTTTTTTTAGATTTATTTATTTATTTTTGTGGGACCCTCGCCCGGCGGCCGGGGAACGAACCGGCGCTGCAGAGGCTGCGGGCAGCCTTGCAACCCGGCGCTGAACCGCTGCGCCACCAGGGGAGGCCCATTATCTGCTTAGTTTTCTACGTGCTTTCATGGACTCATCCCCACTCTCACCCGTTTTTCAGTTTCTTGGTTTTTGCTGTTAGTGGCTTCCTAAGAGAGAGTGACTGCCTTTCTGAGGCCTTCTCTGTAGCCTCACATTTGGATTGACACGTGACTCCTCGGTTGAAAATAATTTTCAGCCCAGAGTTGGGGGCATTGTCTTCCCCTGCTGCCGGGTCCCCTCGGCACCTGCTGGCTTCCTGCCCCTGGGCTCCTCGCTCCTCTTTGCTTTGACATCTTGTCTCGTGTTTCAACGTTCCCCCTGCACCTGGAGATCTTCGGTTCTATGTTAAGTCTAGAGCGGAGCGCTAACTGCTGAGGGAAAACGTGTGCGTGCGGGCAGGGCGAGGCGGCCTGTGGCTTCACAGGCAGCTGACGGGCAGGGACCCCGGCTGCCTTGGGGAACGCGCCCCGGGTCTGTCGGGCCTGTCTCTAGGGGCAGGCCATTTTCACAGTGCAGTGGGCAGACTAATGCCCCCTCCCAAGACGTTCATGTCCTCGTCTGTAAACACGAGGGGGAAAGACTTTACAGACAAGTCAAGGCGAGATTATTCCCGATTACCCAGGTGGACCCAACAAATCAGCAGGTGTGTGAGCTGAGAGGCAGGAGAGCCGACATGGTGACCCAACCGGGGTGACTGGAAGATGCCCTGCTCTGCTGGCGAAGATGGAGGAAGGGGCGCCCGCCAGGGTGGGCTCCAGCAGGGAACGGGTTCTCTCCTGGGGCCCCAGGGGAGGCAGCCCTGCCGGCCTGCTCTAGGCGTCGGGCCCGGGGCTGTCAGGGCATGATCTTGCGTGTGGAAAGCCGCTCTGTGGGCACGTCACAGGAAACCGGTGCCTCCCACCAAGAGCTCCTGGGGCCCCCGAGCAGCCTGTGCCCTCATTTCTTCCGTTTTCAGAGCAGCACCTCGTTCCTGCTCTTGGGCTTGTCTGGCGTCACTGGATGCCAACCTGACGCTGGTTTTACGGAGGATTCTGGGGGCTCCCCGGCGCTCACGGGGGGTTTGTGCGGGGCTGGATTAGCTGAATAGTGAGGCAACCACCCCCAGTGCCCCGTGCAGCCCCGGGGGCAGCGGCAGGGCAGCAGGCGGGGTCCCAGCGTCTGGAGCCTGCGGGTCCCTCTGCTTCCTCCGGCCTGTGCCGAGGCCCCTCCCCAGCGGCCACAGCCCTTCCCGGGCGCCCGGTGCGGGCCAGAGCTGGGCGCCGGAGCCAGGCAGCGGGGAGGGGGGGCGCTCTAGTGGGAGCCCCAGAGCCCCCGCCTCACGCTGGCTTCTGGCCTCGCCCGGCCCCGCCCTCCCGCAGCCAGGTGCGCAGCCTCAGGTGGTGCGGCCTGAGCGCCAGCCGGGGCTTGTCTGGGCGGGGCCGGGGCGAGCCGGGGCGGGGCCTCTCCAGACGGGGCGGGGCTTACCCAGAGGCGGCACCTTCTGGGCGGGGAGGGGGCGGGGACTCTCCGGACGGGGCGGGGCTTACCCAGAGGCGGCACCTTCTGGGCGGGGAGGGGGCGGGGACTCTCCGGACGGGGCGGGGCTTACCCAGAGGCGGCACCTTCTGGGCGGGGCAGGGGCGGAGCCTCTCCAGACGGGCGGGGCTTACCCAGAGGCGGCACCTTCTGGGCGGGGCAGGGGCGGAGCCTCTCCAGACGGGGCGGGGCTTACCCAGAGGCGGCACCTTCTGGGCGGGGCAGGGGCGGAGCCTCTCCAGACGGGGCGGGGATTACCAGAGGATGCGCCTTCTGGGCGGGGCAGGGGCGGAGCCTCTCCAGATGGGGCGGGGCTTGCTCTGAGTTGGGGCCTTCCAGGCAGGGCTTGGTTGGGAGAGACCTTTGTGGGTGGGGCGGGGCTTGCCCGAAAGGGGGGCTTCTGGGTGGGGCTTCGCCAGGGTCCCCACTCAGCTCCCTCTCCCTGCACCGCCTTTTGTTTATCAGCAGGAGCAAGTGATTCAGTGGTGGGGCGGCCTGGTCACTCCTGCAGGCTGGGCGCTTGGCAGGGGTCACCGGGCTGGGCCGGCCAGTGGGCCTCTTGGGGTCAGAGGTGCCAGGTCAGTGCCGGTGCCTCAGACTCCTAAGTGGTCCTCTTGCCCCCTCACCCTCCACACTGCTGGATACTGCTGCTTGGGGGACGCGCCATTCCTGGTCTGTTTCCCTGTGCCGCAGGCTCCTGCCTCTCCCCCATCAGACCGCAGAGAGCCCCGTCAGGGGAAGGCAAATGCCCCTTGGCAGAGGGACAGAGAGGGCCCTCTGGGGGCAGCGGAAGTGGTGTCATCCTAACAGGCCTCCTGTTACCTGGGCCTCCCGGTCACTGGTCTCCCCTGGCCACCCTGGCCTGGGCCGGGGATGGTGGTGCTCCTTGGGCACAGGCTGCCGGCCCCACGGGTCCCCGTGTCCAGACCCCGCCAGCCGCTCAGCCCAGCCAGGCCACCCTCTGGGCCTCCATCTGTCCTCTTTCTTCTCTCCCCCCATTTTCACTCCGGAAATTTAAAGGCACACGAGCAACAGACAGAGGAGCGTAACCAGCCCTCAGGAGCAGCCCCAGGGTCAACAGCTGCTTCACTCCTCCTTGCTTCTCCCACACCCTCCTCCTCTAGGCGATTCTAAAGCAAAGCCCAGGGGTTGTGTCACTTGGTGCTAATGAGGAAGACCACAGGCTGCCCCCAGCGCCATCGTCACACGACAGAGGGGCACCAACTGCAGCCACCCTGGCACCAGGCCTGCTCCTGGCGGGCCTTGCTGCAGTGTGGACCAGGGACCCCGCAGGGCCCGCCCTCCTGTTTCCAATGCCCGTCCCTCTAGCCCTTCCCTGGCCTGTGCCCACAATTCCATGGGGTCCCCCCACTGTGTCAGCACGTGGCGGACAGCTCGTGGCCTGTGAGCCTGGAGCGAGGGCGGCAGGAGCACCACGTCCCCTTGGCCAGCCCTCACAGCCTGGAGTGGCCCGAGGCACAGTCGGTCGGCGTTGGCTTCATTTTGTGCCAAGTTCCCTGACCTGGAATTAACCTTCTGTTCACTCTGTCGGAGGAGACCAAGGCAGCGGCCACCTGGCCGCAGGGCTGAGGCGGGAGCAGAGGCAGAGTCCCCCCACCCCAGGCCTGGGCCCATCTCTCTCCTGTGCGCCCTAGAGGGGCCTCTGCAGGGGAATCTCCAGCCCCTGAGGGGCTGTGAGCAGCTTTGGGGAGCTGTGGCGCTGTGGGCACCAGGCGGTGAGTGGCTCTGCTCCAGGGTGTCCCGGGAGCTGTCCAGGCCCATCCTTCTCTGTCACAGGGTCACCGGGTGCAGGTGGTGGACACGTGGAGGTTGTGAGCTTAGATTGTCCTTGAGTTGAGGGGACGCTCTCCAGGGGGATGGGAAGCTGCCCCTTCAGACAAACGACCTGGAGGGCTGGGGGGGCACCTGAAGTGGGGGAGAGCTGCCCTGGCCCCAGGGGGCAGCGGGTGCTAGTGCCTGCCTCCCCCACCCCATGCCCAGGGAGGGTGTGGCTGGCATCCACTCCTTCCACAAAGAGTGTGGGTGGGATGCTGGTCAGGCTGGACATGGCCAGAGAGGGCGACGTGTGGGTCAGCAGGTGCTCACAGCGGGCAGAGGGGGAGACAAATGTCCACCAACAGACAAGGTGTCCGTCCATATCCCCAACAGGACCGTAGTCAACCCTGAGTCACAGCCCCCCACACAGCCCACAGCCCCCCAGTATGGCCCACCCCACAGACAGAGCCCCCACACAGCCCACAGCACAGACAAGGCACCCAACACAGGCCCAGAGCAGGTGCCCCGGAGGACATTCTGGCAGCGAGAGGCCCCGGAAACCACCCTGCCTGACCACCCCCGAGGTGGCTGACCACATCCACCGGCCTCGCTCAGCCTGGAGTGTGGAGGCCACGCTGGGGCCACACCAGTGGTGTGAGGGGGTGGACTGAGAGGCATCCCCAGGCAAAGGTCAGGGGTCAAGTGCTGGCGGGGGGGCCCCCCGCACGACGGAGGCATCTCATGACCTGCACTTGGTGAGAGTGGGGCTGGCAACGGTGACCCCACTACGGGCTGTGGGATGCAGGCTGCAGGTGTGGATAGATCAGCAGGACCAGTGGCACCGCCCTGGCAGCCAGCTGAAGCCACCAGCCGGCTCGGGGCCAGCCTGGGCCCAGGGTGGCAGGAGTCACCTGCCGTCATAGGGAGAGGAGGGGCTGGGAGCGGATGTCCATGGAGATCTGGGGCGCAGCTTGCTGGGATGAGTGGGGAGTTCAGCACAAAAGAAAGGGACCCCGCCAGGGAGTGATGCAGACTGGGGGGCTCCCAGCCGCGGTCAGCAGGCACTGTGGGGGCAGGCAAGCAGGCCCCGGACGCGGCGGCTCTCAGACGCCCCCCTCGTTGGTGCCGGAGGAGGGCGTCTCCCCGGCCTCCATCTCGGGCTCCTCTCGCAGCACCTGCTGCAGCACGGCCCCCAGGGGCTCCCGCAGGCCCTGGCTCCCGCGGCGGCCCGCCAGGAAGTAGATGACAGGGTTGGCACTGCTGCTCACGGACGAGGAGAGGCGGCTCAGGTCTCTGAGCAGCGTCTTCGTCCACGGGGACAGCTCCAGCCAGTCGAGGAGGAACCAGTTAATGCCCAAGGGCAGGGAGCAGACGAGGAACACCAGGACGGATGCCAGGATGACCATGTACAGCCTCGTGGGCTGCCGCCGCCGCCACTGCTGGGAGCTTCTGTGCACGCGCACGGAGAGGACCCCACTGGACAGGACCATCCCGGGCGTGAAGATGCCTAAGACCAGGGAGATGAAGACGGTGTCCACCGTGAAACACCAGCGCTTGGTGCGCCAGAACCTGCTGCAGGAGAAGGCGGCCAGCGCGTGCAGCAGGAGCGCCAGGGTCCAGAGCAGAGTGGACACCAGCGCCGAGAGGCGCTGGGGCCGGTGGCACTTGTACCAGATGGGGAAGAGGGTGGACAGGCAGCGCTGCATGCTGATGGCGGTCAGCAGGCTCAGGCTGGCGGTGTAGGCAAAGTACTTCACCCTCTGCAAGGCCTCGTAGGCCTTGGGGCTCCAGCCGGCCGGGGGCGCGGTCTCCAGGCCCAGCATGGCGGCCAAGCAGAGAAGGAAGAGGAGGTCGGCCACCGCCAGGTGCAAGACGTAGAGGCAGAAGGGGGCGCCGAGCCCGTGGACGGCCAGCAGCCGGATCACCAGGCCGTTGCCCGCCAGGCCGCAGGCACAGGTGAGGGCGACCAGGGCGCTCAGCACCCAGTGGGCCGTGCCCAGCGTGTCCACCCCCGGGAAGAGTGAGGCGGGCTCGGGGCTCAGGCTGCCATTGGGGGCTGGGTCCATCCTGTGGGAGGAAGAGGCGCCAGCGTGAGGTACTGGGTTGCCTGGACCCTGGGGACTCTGGGAGGCCCCGGAATTTCCTACCCAGGGCCCTGACCCTGGTTCTTGTTATAAGAGAGCGGGACCCGGAGGCCCACCCGGCCCCCGCCCCGGCCTCTGTCCCAGTCTGGTTACTCAGGGCCTCGGGCGCCGCAACTATTTTCCGAAAGGGAGCGGCTGCCCCATGTGTTTCCGTTGACATCTGTGCTGACTGTGAATTCGTGCTGGTGTTTTCTTCCTGTCTTCCAGCCGTGTGCGGCGCGCCCCACCCTCCACCCACTGCCACCTCGACCCCACGCTGGCTTAGTCCCTCGGGGCTCCCGGGCACTCTGGGCCACGTCAGTGCACTGGGGGCGCCGACCCCTGCGTGGCTGAGTGCGTGCGTGGTCCAGGGGCTGCTCCAGGCCTCACCTCCCCTGGGCCCAGGAGCCCATCCTGCACCCTGGCAGCTCCGTGGGCACATTCTGCTCACGCCCAGCCAGCGGCGTTGAGGTGGTATTTTGTGGGTGCTCGATGGCGCCTCTCCCTGAGCCCCTCTTCCTCGTGACCTGCATCCTCAACTCCAGGAGGTCCCAGCTGCCCTGTGGACCCCACCCCAGCCCCCGGGGAAGTGCCCTCCTCCCTGTGCCTCTCGTGCAGAGGCCTGTCCTGGAGTCTGTCTATCGAAGCCTGAGGCCGCGGGACTCTGGGGACCAGGCATTCTGTGGGCAGGAGCGCCCTGCCACTGGCCTGGCCATGGGGAGGGGCCGCTGACCTGCGAGTAGGCAAACGTCCTGATTTATTTTCTTGTGTCTGTGGTTTGCGGCTGCATGAGCTTCTGCGCAACTGTTGCAACTCTGCTGTCCCCTGGTTTCTAGCTTAGCCAGGACGCCAGGCCGCGAGCCTCGGCCCTCACACGCCTCTTCTCCCGGATGGCAGAGCCTGCGGGGGACTTTCTTCCCCCCTGGGTTGTCTGAGCTAAGCTTCTGGCATTTTCTGCTATCAAGATGGGAAAGTTCCCTTTCTGGTTTTCTGCGAATTTTTTATCATAAAGAAGTGATGAAGTTTATCACATTGTCCCTCTGTTTCTAGGACAAACCATTTCTAGTTTGCTCTGGTGTTGTTTTTTTTTTCCTTCTGATTTTTTTAAAGAAAATTTTCTGTTTTCATAAATCAAATTGGCCTGTAATTATCTCTCTTGTCACTACCTTTGTCTGTTTCTTATTTCAGGGCCGGGGCCTGTATCGGGGTCCTGAGGTGATTTGGGGGGTATTCTTTGTCCTGAAGGGTCCTCTTTCTTTGACGGTTTGGCAGAAGGCAGAACCACCTGGCCTGGTATTTTTATGGGAGTGCCAGTGGATCGCCCTGGCTTTAAGAAAATACTACAGCTCCAATTTATTTACCATTTTAGGTCGATTCAGAGCTTTAATCTCTTCTTTACGTAGAGCAGGTGGTAATATTTACCAGACAATTATCAGTGCTTCCTGGCTCACACTTACCAGCGTCTCCAGCAGTTACTGTCATGTTAAAAACTTCAGTTCAATAGAATGGCCAGCTCTTGTTTGTGCTGCTTCTTTTCCTTTTCAGTCTGTCAGAGTTTTATTTATTATTTATTTTTTTAAAATTCTCTTGTGGTTACTTTGCTTCTTATTCCCCCGGGCGACGCGTTAACGTCTTCCTCTTTCTTCGGTTGTAACTTGTGATTCTTTCTTCAGCTCCTCGTGTTGAACGCTCAGGTCATTAATTTTCTGACTTTCTTCTTTTCCAAACAGGTGTTTGGGACCATAGAGGTGCCTGGATTTCTTTAGGAGCTTGATGAGTTTGGGTCTCTAGTCTCTTCACTTCTGTTCATGTCCAAATCCTAAAAGATTTCCAATTAAAATAAAAAATTTCCGTGCATTATTTAGAAATCCACGTCACAATGCACACGTTGCCTGCTTTCTGTTGTTGACGTGTAACATCACCGCACTGCTGGCGTGTGCTCTTAGCCAATTTGGGGCTTGCTTTATGTACCTGTTGGATTGTTCTTTCAATGACCTGTGGCTTGTTTTCCGATTGCTGTGGGGAAGACCCCCACATGGAGGTGGCTGCGGCTTTCTCCTCCTGCGCCCACCCGGAGCCTTGTGGAAGGCTGTGGGCCCGGCCTGTGTGTCCTGCGGAAGCCCAGCTCCCCGCCTCCACCCTCATCCTTAATGCATTCTAACCCCAAAGTGGATCTGATGTACCCACTTTTTGTTAGTGCTCCTAGAGGTCCCGTCCATTCTCCACGTGCTTGGCAATCGCTGACTTTCTGCAGGGGGTCTGTTCCTTTCCAATGGGGCCCCCCAGGGTCACAGGAGTCTGTGGCCTTGGTCACTGGCCCCTGTGGATGCTCCGTGGTTCTCTGGTCCAGGACCAGGTTTTGGATGGATTTCTTGGGCCGGAGGCTGGCATCACGCCCGCCCACGTTAAATCCAGCTCTCCTCCCGGGAACCTGCAATCTGGGGCTTTAATTCCTCTGTGGGCGCTGGGCTCCGTGCTCCCCCACCCCCCACCCCCGTCCAGGCAGGGAGTGGCCCCCGATTCTGGGTGCCGCCTTCTTTGAGCAGCGGGGCCACCCAGGGCTGGCCTCACGCAGGCTCCTCTGCTCCGGCTGACCCCTCCACATTATGCGGCTGCGAGACCACCCCTCGCCCGGCCCCCTCCTCCCCCGGCCCCCTCCTGCCCTGACCGTCAAAGGTGTTTCGTGTTCACTATGGAACACACAGGGGGACGCCTAGACCATCAGAACAGAGGAAATACAAAATCCTCCTCCCGCCCCACCCGGGCTCAGCACTTCAGAGCCACCTTCCGGGCCTTTGGGGGTGTTGTGCTGCCATCTGGCCTCCGTTGGGTTTTAAATATTTTCATTTTCAAAGAATGTTCTACTTTCATCTCCTTTCTGCCAGTGAGTGATTCTCGGGGTGCTTGGAGGTGTGGCTGGGAGGGGGCTCCGCTGCAGCCTGTTCTCAGTGGCCCCTGCTGGGGGGTTCGCAGACGCAGGCGCCGGGTGCAGCCCTCCTGTTGCGGGAACCTCCGCAGATCCTCTAGGGACGCGGAGATCCGTCCGCCCGTGCTCATTTCTCCTCTTCCTTAAAGGTTAAAATCAGCTTCCGCATGGCTGCCCGAGCTGCCTTGCTCTACTTCATTGTTTTTTTGGAAGCACAAGTTGCTTTAATCAGGGGTGAGTCCTCCCTGGGGTGCTCGCTCGCCGGCCTCTCACTGCCCGAGGCCTGCAGGAAGGAGGGAGCCGCTGGGCCCCGCTCACAAACAGCCTTCGTCTAAGACATTCGGGGGCCACAGCCCGGCCCGGCCTTGGAGGGCTTGCTCTCTGCATTGACGTGTCACTTTGTTTTTACATCAGTGAACTGTCTCGCCGGCTGTTTCATAGCTGCTTTTGTACGACTTCCCCTTAAAGTGTCCCCCGACCTTGAGTGACCCCTTTTCCCTGGCACCTAGGCTGGGCGATGTGGACTTATTGCAGCTTTAAAGGTCTGGGAAGTTGGTTTCAATGTGTGGGAAGAAGCCAGCTCAGAGACGCCGAGACTCTGGCCGGTCACCCAGCGGCCTCGCCACGGCCCGCGGCAGCTCCGCCGTGCCCCACCCGCCATGGGCAGAGGCAGGGCCTCTTACCTGCTCTCCACGGGGCAGGGGCCTGGACCCTCCTTGCTCCGCGCGGGGTTTCCGCAGCCGCCTGTCGCCTGGCCCCGAGGCCCCTCCGTCCTTGCAGACTCGGCAGGCCTCGGGGGGCTGTCTTCTGCTGACCCCCGATTGGCCTCACAGGAGCCCCTGCCCACCCCCGCCTGAGAGCCGTGGCCGGCTCCCTCTGAGGAGAGTGCGAGCGTGAGGTATAAATGCAGGAAGGGTGCCTGTCCCCACGGGGAGGCTAATGGGCCTGGGCAGGCGTGGCCTCCCCCCTGCCTGGAGGGCTGGGCTGCAGGGGAAGGAGCACGAGGCTGGGGGCCCGAGGAGGGTCCCCTCTCTCCTAGCCCGTCCGGGAAGCCAGGGAGGCCCCCGAGCATTAGCGGGCTCAGGGTGGGGAACACAGGCTTTTGCGGGCTAGGACAGGCCATTATGTCCTCCCCTGGCCCCTGCCCGGAGAAGATACTCTGGCTAATGGACTGGAGCTCGCTCCTCAGCAGGGTGGAGAGGGCGCCCTGGACCCGGAGTCCGGGCCCTTATTTCCAGTGGAGTCCTGCCACTTGTTGGGGGGGCTCAGGTTTCCCCTCGAGTGTCCGAGTCCTCACTGAAGAGCTGGGCGTCCCTCCTGGCCTCTCCTAACCGGCCAAGAGCCCTGGGGACATGTGGCTGTGGGGTGAGGGGACCACCTCCGCCTGGTTGGACACCTTCCCCCCACTTCCCCACCCGGGGAGTGGAGAACACCAAGAAAACCAAGTACCCCACCCGGGGCAGGCTGCAGGCTGCCAGTGCACCTGTCGCCCTGCGTGCCGGGTACCTGAGGGGCTGGGTCACTGAGAGCTGAGGTTCTGGGCTGTGGTGTCGTCCTCATGGCCCTGCCCTGTGGTGGGGGGGGAGCCCCTGGTGTCAGCTTTGGAGAGAGAGTGAGCGAAGCAAGAGGAGGTGGGCCCCCAGTCCTGGGGGGAGGGTGGTGACAGCGCAGGCGGCTCCTCTCTGCCCCTGTGCGTCCACAGGGGTGTGGGCACCCACTCCCACAGCTGCGGCTCTGGCCTCTGTGGCCTTTCATCCTGGGCAGGGAGGGGGCAGCTTGAGCGAGGGCCCCGCGGGGGATCAAAGGGCTAGGCTGACTGCTCAGGTGTGGTACCTGGGAGCCAGGAGGCTCTGCCCTGTGCCCTCCGCCCCCTGTGTACCCAGAGGAGGCTCTCAAGGGATCTGGGTTTTGGGGCTGACCGAGAGCAAAGAATCCCAATGCTGTAAAGGGGTGCAGGGGGCTGCTTGGTCAGCGACACCCCAACTCGTGTAGCGGCCACCTCCAAAGCCTGCGCCGGCGCCACAGGAGGTGCTCTGGCAGGGCCTCACCGCAGGCCTGGCGAGGACCCGGTGTGTGTGGTGTTGACAGGACTCAGCTCCTTGTAGACTGGACTCGGCCTCGATCCTCTTGTCCTTACTGCTCAGGCCGCTGGCAGCCCAGGGCCTTCTTCATTAAGGTCATCCCGGCAGAGCCCACCAGCAAGAGGATGCCAGTGCGAGGTCCTGGTTGTCTTTGCCCCATTCTGCCGGCCAGTCAGTCACTGGGTCCAGCCCCCAGCGTGGAGGCGCCTGGACTCTGGGGCCACGGTGATGGCTGCCACAAGCTCACTGCCCGTGCGCCTGGTCAGCGCAGAGGGGGCCGCAGCCCAGCCCTGCAGGGGACGGGGCTCTCCCTGTCCATGGCCGGCCCCGTCCGTCCTTTCCACTGCATCTCGAGTGTGGCCATCATTCGGCCCTTGGGCACCGACCCCCGAGGGGGTGTCTCTGGGTCTGATGGGGAGAGATCCAGGCAGCCGAGGCTGTGAACCCGGAATCAGCTTAGGACTGACTCTTCCGGGGGGGTGAGGGGCGCCTTTCCTGCTGCAGAGCTCAGCTGCGGATTTGGGTGGGTGCATTTTAACTCGTGGGAAAGAAGTGGGTGTCTGGGTGGGGGGATGTTGCGGGAGGAATGGGGCCTGCATGGGCCCCGTCTGAGCCGCTCCGCCTGATTTCCCCTGGGCCTCCCCTGGTTGGTTGGACCCCGCGCGGGCGCGGGCCTGGGGCCACCGGGGCCTCTGTGTCTCTCTGGAGATGGATGAAGTGTCGAATGTGCCGCTGAGAATAAATGCAACATGGAGACAGAGAGAGAGGAGGAACCTCCCGGACATGATTTGAGCCCCCTGTTCCATCTATGTCTGAAAACAAAATCACTTCTAGAACTTTCCTGGTCCCTGAGTCAGTAAGCTCCCTTAAACACGCGTCTGCACCACACCCCTCTCTCATCCACACACACCTGCCACAGGCCAGGGTGGACTTGGGCCCCGTGTTATCAGCAGAAGTCCTGGCCACGCTGCGGCCAAGTCTGGGGGAACCTGTGGTGTGGCGCAGGGAGGACCGGCTGCTGCCGCTGGCGGGGGGCTCTGGGGCACCAAGAAACCTGCAGGGGCCGATGGGAACATCGTCTTGTGTGGGCAGAAACATTCCCCGTGTGGCTTTGGCCATGGCCTGGGCACACGGCCACATGTGCGTGACTTTGTTGCCTGTCATTTAGGCCACAGCTAAAGCAGTTATAAAAATATTTGAAAAAGCTGCGGGAGTGGGTGCTTCTGGCGGGCCCAGAAACTTGGCCCTTCTGGCGGGCCCGCCTCCTCGATGCAGAGTTTCCTTGAGTCTTAATTGTGTGAGCCAGGCCCTGTTGTCTTCTCCAACTTTCCAGCCCGGCCAGCTTAAAATACAACCCGCGTGGCTCCTGCCTCGTGACCCGCGGGACACATTTCAAGGCACGTTTCCTGGGCCTGGGCTCCTCCCGCGTGCTGGGGGGCGAGACCCTGTGGCCCGCCTCTCTGTCCTGCTTTGGGACGGACCCCCGGGTGCTGGGAGGAGGGGTCGTCTGGGCCGAGGGCCTCCAGCAAACTGTGTGTATGTGAAACCATCTCAGGCTTTCGCTCTGGCATTAAACATGAAGCCCGGTGCTCTCCAAACCGCAGCTGGCAGGGAGTCGGCGGCGAGCGGGGCGGGTGCCAGGAGGCCTTCCGTTTCCTGCCAGTGAGATGGAAAAGGAAGAGGGCCGAGGCCTCAGCCGGCAGAGGCGGTGGCCGCACCGTCCGTGAGCACTCACCCTTCCCTGGCCCCCGGTTTCAGATGCCCGTGCCCGGAAGGGGCCCACCCTCCTTTGGCCTCGGCTGACAGTGGAACCCACCAGGGCTGGCCTGGTTGGTTCTGGGCAGGGATGGGCTCATCCTTGACACGTCACCCTGGGCCCAAAATCCCAGTGTTTTGCTGATGGGAATCACAGAGGTCAGAGGCCTGAGGTCCAGGGACATGCGGCTGGGGCTCTGGCCAGGCCTGTCAGCCTGGATGAGGAGCACCATGGTGGGCGCGGCTCCTGCAGTGGGCTCATGCTGTCTGTACTGGGATGGTCCCTGCTATGGCTCCTGGCGTGCTTGGTCCAGGCCCAGCATGGATACCTCAGTCCACGGTGGTCACTGCCCTCGCTCCGCACTGGGGTTGGCCGCTCTGTGACCATGCCACCTGCAGCAGCCGCTCCCCTGCCTGCCACTGTACCCCACACCTGACCGAGGTAATGCCAACTCCGAGAGGGCGCACCTAGCATTTGGGGACACTGAGGCCCAGCAGGGTGAGGGTGGGCAGCCGCCCGACCCTGCAGCAGCCCCTGAGGCTGTAATAAGTGCACTCGCAAGGAGGGAGGGGGCGTGGCGGGGACCTGCGGTCTGCCCAGCAGCCATCTGTGCAGCCACCTCCATTAGCACAGAGATGGGGAGGTCCAGGGCGTGGATGGGTACAGGGTCCTCCGGGGCCCAGCAGGGGTAGATGGAGGTTTGTGCTAAGCACCCACCAAGGAAGGGCCCAGAGGTGGGGGCTCCATCCTGGAGCTCACCCCTGCCCCAGGCTGAGCGGCTCCAAGGCTGATGTACCCGGGGCCCTCCCTGACCTCCTGGCACTGCAGGGGGTGAGGGCACTTGCCGCCCTGGCCTGGGCCCTCAGTCACTGGACCCTCTTAGGAAGGCCCCTCAGGACCCTGGGTTGGGAGCTGGTCCCCACAAGACCAGGGCTGAGCTGGGGCTCTGGAGGGAGAATTCTTGGGGATTGGGAGTCCCTGAGCCCTGGAGTGCCAGGCTTCCAGACACCCTGACCCCTACAGGATTGGAAGCCTTTCTGCCTGCCCAGGGCCCTCAGGACACACCTCTTGCCTGTGTGTCCAGGAATGAGGAGGCAGATGTTGTGGTCTCCACCCCTGCTCTGGGACCCCTACAGACGCCCCCTCTCCGCAGAGCTGGGGTGTGGTTGGGACTGTTGGAAAGTGGAGGAGGAGGGCGGCGGCCTGGAGTGAACAGGAGGCTGAGCCTGCTGGGGGCTGGTCACCAGGGGAAGGCACTCAGGGGTCAGCTCAGCAAGGAAGCCCCTGCTCCCGGCCATCGGGAAGGCAGAGCGGACCCGGGGTCTGCGGGCAGAGCACAGACACAGTGGCACCTCACCCGCCAGCTGCCCCGCTCGCCCTCTGAGCTGCACGCATCCCACCCCCAGCCTGGGCTCTCTGCCTTGTGTCTCCTTGGCCCCCGCAGAGGCAAGCGTCTGCAGAGTGGTCCCCAGAGGGGTGTGGCCCAGGCTGGATTCCAGGAGCCTGGGATGGGGCCCTCCTGGGGCTGAGGGGAGGCAGGGGCTTCGGCCCCCTGCTGAGCCTGTCTCCTGGGAGGGGCCTGATCATGGCTGGGAAGTTGGGGGGCTGGGCACGGGAGGTCAGCGCCTGCCCCAGAGAGCTCAGGATGCAGGGGGCATTCCAGACGGGCAGCAGCGGGATCCTTGTCAGGTGGTGTCACTCAGCACAGTGGGGATAAAGCCCCCAGGAGCGGAACCCCTGAGTGGCTGCAGCCAACAGAGGACGTGGGTCCCCTGGAAGGAGAAGGGGCCCCATGGTGCAAACAGGCCAGCGGGGGAGGGAGACCAAGGCGGGAGAGAGCGGGCTGCAGGGGTGGAGATGGGCTGCCCCTCCGGGGCTCCACTGCCCCTCTGGGTTGCCCCGTCCCCTCGGGGGCTCTGCTGCCCTGGGCCTCCCCATTGCGGGCACTGGGCCACGGGTGCACAGAGGGCCACAGGCTTCCCGAGCGCAGAGGGAAAGCGTTTATTGATGCACATTTATTGTCTTTCATCAAACGTCCTTTGGCTGCGCTGGGCACCGTGCTGGCTGGTGGGCAGGGGGCCGGGGCCAAGCCGGAGCCCATTTGTAGGTGGGGAGGAGCCCGGAGGCCGGCAGTGGGTGTGCAGGAGGCTGAGGCCAGGCGGGCAGCAGCCGGGCCAGGCGCGGGCTCCAGGAGCGGCGGGGAGCAGCTGGCTGAGTGGGAGTCGGAGGAGTCACGGCCTCTGGTTGCTGGTTCTTCCTCCTGTATCAGCTGCTCACAGGCCAGACGTGCCCGTAAGTCACTAAGGTTTTGGTCCCGGGGGCAGGGACATTGTTTATAGAGACTGTTTATAGAGACTGTTTATAGAGACTTCGAGGCAGGTTAAGGGGAGCCTGTCCCAGGTAGCACCATAAGGTCAGCTCTGCCCCCAGTGTCCCCCGGGAGGGATGGAGACCGCAGGGTCTCGCAGCAGGGAGGGGGCTGCTGGCCGGTGGTGGGCGGTACAGGCTGTGTGGCTTTCAGGGGTGCTGACCAAAGGGTCAGGAGGCGCATGGGCTGGGCGACCCCCTCCTGTCCTTTGCTGGCCAGCCTGGGTGAGGACGGCCCCCAGCTGGCACCTCTGACAATGGGGCACAGCAGGAGCGCTGGGGGAGGTGGGCGGGGGCACCTGGCAGGACCACCTGTAAGTTTGGAGGTGGCTGCTGTGGGTCTCGGCATCCCCAGAACCCCTAAATCTGGGACAGTAAGACACGCGGGGCAGAAGCAGACTCTTCTGTGCCCGTGGGCCAGGCCCTGTTTCTGTCTGCCCAACGGCAAGGGGTCCCCAGTGGCCAGGGCCGCCCCTGGCTCCCTCCACCCGGGGCAGCTCAGGAGGCATTCCCAGGGGTGCACTGCATCTCCATGGTGACAGTGTTGGGCGTGCCCGCCCCCGCCTCCCCCAGCTCAGCGCCGTCCCGCAGGGCCCGCTGGAAGACCACCCGGAGCGGCTCCCACAGCCGCTGGGACTTGTCCCTCCCGGCCAGGAAGTAGACCACGGGCTTGGCGCTGCTGTTGATGCAAATGCACAGGTCCGTGACGTACTCGGGGAAGGGGGCCGGGATCTGGAAGACCCAGAAGAGGAACCAGTCGATCCCCAAGTAGATGGAGGACACGAGGAACACGGAGTCCGTGGCCAGGACCACGTGGTTGAGCTTGGCTGAGCGCTGGCGCCGCCGGGCCCGGCACTCCACGTGCAGGATGAGCGCCAGGCAGGGCAGCACCATGAGCGGGCAGAAGACCAGGAACAGCAGGATGCCCAGGAAGGTGTCCATGTGCCTGCAGGCGGGCCCCGAGGCCTGGCGGTCCAGGAAGACACAGAAGTAGTGGTGGATGCCGGTGACCAGGAGAGCCAGGGCCCAGAGCAGGGCGCACACCACGGCTGACAGGCGCCGGGGCCGCTGGTGCCAGTACCAGGCGGGGAAGAGGACGGACGCGCAGCGCTCGGAGCTGATGGCCGGCAGGAGGCCCACACTGGCCACGAACGTGCACAGCCCCGCGACCCTGCACACGGCCCGGATGTAGTCGGCGAAGGTGCCCAGGAAGCCCCCGGTGTTCAGGATGGAGAACACGGCCTTGCTAAAGAGGTAGCCCGCGTCGGCGCTGGCCAGGTGCAGGAAGTAGATGGAGAAAGGGGTCCTCTTGATGGAGAAGCCAAAAAACCAGAGGACCAGCCCGTTGCCCACCAGCCCACACAGACAGAGCAGCAGGAAGATGTAGTTCATGACGGCTGGCGGGGGCAGCGGGCTGATGGGCTCGATGGTCAGGAAGCCTCGGCTGTAGAGCTCCGGGGCCTCGCTGGGGCCGGGACACATCTGTGCAGGCGTGGAGGGAGACAGCCGGTGAAGGCCCAGACCCGCACCTGCACCCCGCACCTGCGCCCCCCACCTGTGCCCTCCACCTCGCCCCACACCCGTGCCTACACCCAAACCCTGCACCTGTGGCTGGTGTGGCTCCCAGACCTGCAGGGGCAGCAGCTCTGGACACCCCACAGATGCTCCATGAGAGCAGAAGACACGCTGACCCCACCTGACGCTACTGCTGTGTCCCAGAGTCTGCAGACTTGGCCTCTCCGAGGCACTGGAAATCACAGCCCCCAGGGACCCTGGCTGCTCGCCTGTCTGAATAGACAGGTCAAAAAGGCCCACGCCTGCGCGGTGAGGGGCAGCTGAGCAAGCGTTTCAAGGCGAAGGTGAAGGCGGCTGCAGAGACAAGGACAAGAACTGCTGTCACCCTAGGCCTGGCACTGACAGCCGCCCGATGCTAGCGGGGTGGGGGGCCCGGCACCGGCCCATGTCCAGAGAGCGGTATTGCACCAGGTCACGCTTGCCTGGAGGGAAATGCGCCGTGGCGATGGGCGTGTCCTTGTCCTCAGGTGGGACACTGGGGGCTCGGGGCTTGGTGTCTGCAACTTGCTTCCAAGGCATTCGGGAGGCCGGTCTGTCGGCCGAGACGCCCATGGAGAGCACGCTTGGTCAGAGACTGGCCACAGGGGAGGCTGTGGGTATGCAAGGCACTGGCACTGTTTTTGCAAACTTTCTGTACACGCGAGACGTTCACACTGATGCATGGAAATATTTATTTGAAAATAATAAAGTCACCTGCGAGTTACAAAAACAAAAGGTGGGCCATGGGTCTCGCAAAAACAAAAGGTGAGCAGGACCCGCCTCTCCCAGGGTGGGGGCTGGGGAATCAGCAGCCCTGCTGGGCCATGGTGACCTCTGGGCTCTTGGCCAAGAGGCTCAAGTGTGGGCAAGCCCCTCACAGTCGGGACGATGGCCTGGCTGGCTGAGGCCACCTGACATCAGTCTCGCCGCAGAGTCCAGGCCGATACGTGGGCCAGCTGCAAGAGTGACCGGCCGGGGGACAGTGGCAAACCGAGTGAGGGAAGTGGGCAGCCTCTCGGGAGCTGGGGGCACCACTGGAGGAGCAGCTGACCGTTCTCCCCCCACCAGAGGAGCCAGAGCTCTAGATTCTAATGTGAAATATCCTGATCTTTAAACACTAGCATTTGAAAAACATCGTGTGGGCCAAACACAACAATCTGCAAGCTGGACTCGGCTTCAGGCTGTCACTGTGACCTCTCATTCCAAGTGGCAAAGGTGACCTGGGCGCGGTCACTGCCTGCTGCCCGCCCCCGCAGACATCACCAATCCATCCCTGCTCGCCAGCGCCTGACCCTGGCCTTCGCCTGCCCCGGCCCCCACAACCTCTTCCCAGGCTGGGGGTCAGTTCCCTTCACTGAGGCCTCCCCCAAACAAAAACAAAAGCAAGACCCGGAAGGTTCTGCAGGCAGAGCCATCCTGCACCATCCAGATGGCCCCGTGCTGGCGGAAGGCTGGCCCAGAATGCAGTGGGCGCCCCACACCAGGGGAGCCCACTGGCCTGGCTCTGGAAGCCCTGACTACAGGGTGTCGGGGAGCCTTGGGGAGATGTGGGAGGTCAAGGCGGCCCTGGAAGGGGCTCCTGCCCGCCAGCTGTCACCGCGCAGGGCAGGTCAGCCCCACTCCCGCACGCGCCCTGGCCCAGCCCGCACTCCTCCCGCGGGCTCGGAGCCGGGAGCAGACCCGGCCATGCCCGAACCAGGTTGGGCAAGCCCCTGGAGCCAGTCCCTGCTGCAGGAGAGGAGCGGGCGGCAGGCTGGCGTGGGCGTGGGGGCTGGGCCACAGTGCTGCTCACACGCAGGCTGGGGCATCAGCCAAGCCCTCCTGGGCGCCAGTGTGGAGGCCGGGTGAGTCACTCGCGTGTGGGCCCTCGCCAGCGCACGCCTAGTACGTCTGCCCAGCCCTCCCTGCGCTCTCCTCTCCCCCATTTCTGGGGACTCCCCCAGCTAGCCTGCCTCTGCCTCTAGGGGTCCCACGGTGGGCAGTGTGGGAGGCTGAAAGGGCCTCAGGAGCCGAGTTCAGGGTCCAGGAGGCGCTCCGGCTTTGCCCAGCCCTTGGGCTTGCCCTGGCCCAGCTCTGGCGTGAGCCTCAGTTTCTTCAAATGCGGGAGGGGCTGCGCTAGGCTAACTCGAGGCCCTCCCAACTCGAGAGCCTTCTCCCTGGGCTGCGGGGTGTGGGGGGCGTGGGGGAGGGTGAATGCAGGGGCTTTGAGGCCCTCCAAGAAGAAGGGGTGGGGGGTTCTGGCCATAGGAGGTGATCCCCGCCTGGGGCAACTCTGGCAGGGTCATTGTGGGACACGGGACATCAAGGTCACCTTGGACTTACATCTCAGGGTCTCCTGGCAGGGCCTGGCCGTGGGAAAGAGCTGACCTCCCCACCTCTGCAGGGGAGAGAAGGACCAAGTCTTCCGAGGTTAGTGACAGGTCAGGAGACACGGGACCCGAGTGCCAGGCCACACAGCCCATGGGCCCTGCTGCCACCTTCTGCTGGAAGCTACGTGAAGGGTGAGGTGTAGCAACAGAGGGGAGGTGCTGGGCCCCCTACCCCCACCCACTCAGCCCAGAGATGCCCGCAGTGCCCCCTCCCAGCCCTGCACTTGCCTTGCTCCTGTCTGCGGGCTGGCCCTCCCAGGAGCAGTTCCCCACCATCTCCAGGCCCAGCAGCCTGATTCCTCTCGGCTCTGCTCACAGCTCACGGGCCTGCGTGCTCCACCTGGCAAAGGCAGAAAGAGTACATCAGGGGGGCTTACCATCCACCCTCCAGACCTCTGTCCACCGTCCACCCTCCAGACCTGTCCCCGGCCCCTAGACTCCAGGCCTGTGGCCCTCAGCAACACCTTTGAAAAAAGGCTGATGGGGCCATGGGGTCCCTTCGAGTCAGACCCCCGGGGGCGGCAGGGGGGACAGTCTTGCTGCATGTGGACCCCTCACCCACCTCCTGTTGACGCCCTAGTGACACCTGTTCTTCCCCTTTCGTTGGTCTGGAGCCAGCCAGCTCTGGAAATTTACAGTTACTTTCCCCACATACATTTCGTGGCCCCCGCAGCCAGTCCCAGAAGGGGGAGCCAAGGAGGAGAGAGTAGGGAGGCTTCCTGGAGGAGGGGGCCTTTGGCTACCTTGTTTGTCACAGGCCAAGCTCTTCCCCTGCAGCTGCCTGCACGGCAGGACAGTTTGGTCATCATCAGCATCCTTGTCACCACCCGCAGCCCCGCGTCGGTGGGAGCCAGCAGGCCTGCACCCTTCTTCCCACCTGGTCCTGTGCTAGCTGTGAGGTGGCACCATCAGCGCCCTTAGAGTGGGGCGCCCAAGCTCAGGAGGTGCAGTCGGGCCCACAGATGGGGCATAACCACTGCTCCGCAGGGTGCTGCTGCTCTGCAGATGGAGGATCTGTGGGGCGAGGAGCTCCCGGAGGGAGGGGCCAGGAGGCCCTCGGTGTCCTGGCTCCAGGCTGGAAAGGGGTGGTTGGACTCAGCCAGGGCTGCAGTGAAGGCCTGGGAGGGGTGACCAGCCGGGAGGGGAAAACGTCGCTGCTAGGGACCTGTCCACCCCAGCCCACAGAGCCGCTGGTTGGCCCGCGCCTCCACTGACTCCAGCCCCCACCTGCCCCACTGTGCTGCGGTGGGGACACTGAGGCTGTGGGCGGAGAAGCGCCTCTGGAGGGCGTCGGTCCCTCCTCTGCTGGGGGAGCTCTGGGGAGCCTGCTGGGGTTGTCTCCTCGATTTCCTTCCTTAGGTGTGGGAGGAGCCACCAGGCACACCCCCCCCCGCCCCCCCAGCGCCCCTTCCAGCCTGGAGCGGGCCTGTCCGTGCTGCCCGCCAACCTCTGGAGTGAGGAGGACGCAGTGCACCAGGGGCTGCTGGGGCTGGGGGCTGCTGGATGCAGCTCCTGAGCCCATGCCCGGGCCACCGCATGTTGCCCAGTGCCTGGGGCCTTGGCAAACCTTCCCTGCTCCCGGGTGCATCTGCCCGGGCGTTGGGCACGGGGTGCGTGGGGCGGTTCCTGATGCGCATGTGCAGGGAGTGGGTGCTACACCTGCATCTCTTGACCCCCGCCCCCGACACAGCTCCACTCTAGTTGCCCTACCGCCCCCACTGCCGTGGACAGCGTCTCCAGCACTAGCATCTCCGGGGCGCCCAAGCTCCCCACCTGCGACCCGGGGCTTCCCATCTCACCCCCACCCCCTGACCCCATGGAGGGCCCCTCTCCCCTGCTCACTCTTCCCGCTATTCTTGGTGGCCCTTCCTGCTGCCCACTATCCCAGGCCTGGCCCCTGTGACCTGATGGAACTGGCAGGTGCTCAGGTGCCCCAAGGCCGCCCCTGGGTGTGCCTGCGCGGCCAGGCCCTGGCTGGGTGCAGAGCTCACGTCTGCGCTGTGGTGCCCCCATGTCTCTGAGGCCTCGTCCTGTCCCGCCCTGGGCAGCCAGAAGGCTCCTGCACTCATGCAGAGCGATCCGGAAGTGTGGTGGACTCTGGGTGAGCCCAAAAAGGCTTGTGTGTGGCGTGTGTGTGCGTGTATGTGCACGTGAGTGGTGTGTGTGGTGTGTGTGTGCATGTGTGGTATGTGTGCGTGTGCATGTGGGTGCGTGTGCCTGTGTGATGCTCGGTAGGGATCTGGCCTCTGTCAGGTCTGTTTGCCTGACAGTTCAGCTCACTCCTGCTACCCCCTCCACACACCAGCCCACAGACAGTGTGCCTGGGCCTCAGGAAGCTCCTCTTTCTTTCACCTAGTCCCACCAGCCCCCAAGCCCCAAGACCCCCGGGACCTCCAAGGCCTCTAGGGGATGCTGTCCTCCAGCCCAGCCCCCAGCCCTCTTGCTGTCTCTGCTGTCTGCTCTGGCTGCCCCCTGCTGGCCTGAGGGCCCTGACTCCAGGGGGCTCACACGGTCACTCCCCCCATGGGCAGGCCACAGCCCCTGCTCACAGTTTGCCCTTAAGGGGCTTCTATGGGGGCCGCAGGGCCTTTGGGCACCCTCCCGGACATCCAGTACCAGGTCGGGTGCTGCCCGGGAGAAGGTGGAAGCTGAGCCTCCCGGGCTGCGAGGCTGGTGCCTGTGTCCAGCCTGGGTGGTTGGGGCAGCTGGGGCCGGGCCCAGCTCTCACGGAAGGAGGGGCGTGAGGCTGGCGCGTGAGACCGAGGAGCGTCCCGCTGGGCTTGGGAAGCTGCCCGCTGGGTGTTCCCTTCCCGCCCTTCCAGAAAGCACGCTCGGACAGCTGGCGAGGGCGTGGGGGACGGAGGGGGAGCCCCCACCCACAGTAGGACAGTTTGAGAGTCGGGAACAGCCAGAAGGTCAGGGCCTGTGGCCAGGAGGGGGGCTCCAAGCCTCCCCCCTGTCCCTGGGGCTCCCGAGCCTCGGGGCTTGTGAGGGTGGATCTCGGGGTGGGCGCTGACAGCCCTGCTTTGGGGCCCAGGGATCCTGCTCGGAGCTGCGTGGATTCCGCCAGAAGTGCCCCCCGACCCCGGTGGCACCCACCTCAACTCCTGCCCTGCCCGGCCCGCTCCCTGCAGCCCCAGCTTCCGTAACCCCCACTCTGGCCCCCAAGTTGCTACCTGCAGCTTCTCCGCGCCTCGGGGCTGCCCTTCCTCGTCTTCTTCGTGCGGGGCTCCTCGCACGGCCCCCAGGGCAGCCGACTGGACACAGCGCTGCCCGGAGCTCAGAGTGGAGGCTCCCGCCTGCCTGCCCGCCGCCTGCTGGAGCGAACCCGCCCCAAACCCAATTCCAGGCCGGCGGGGACGGGAGGGGGGAGGAGGGGCTGAGCAGGGATGAGGCTTCGGGAAGGAATGCCCCGCTCAGAGCCCCCCCCAGCCCGCGGGGACTCATCTCTCCCGGTGACGTCACGTTGGCCCGAGCACTGAGGACCGAGTCCAGCTGTTAATCTCGCCTCCTGCGGCTCCGCCAGGCTGCCCAGGGACAGAGCGCCGGCTGTCCACTCGCCTGGTCCTCTCATCCGCTCCCAGTGGGCGTTTCAGGGCCGGCGGGGCCAGGAGGGGCCCGTCCCCACCCCGTTGTTTAAATGTCTTCAGGGGCTGCTGCCGAGAAGCCTGGGGCAGCGGTGGAGGCTCCCGGGATGGGGTGGAGCCGCGCTCTGGGGAGGTGGGCTTGGCAGCGGGGCGGTGGGCCACCCAGGTGCACCCCTCTCCAGAATCTGCCCGGGGCCCCATGTGGACTTTTGGAACCAGGAAGTCCCTGTTCTTCAGCCCTAATAGCAATCAGATGGCGTGAGTGGAAAATCACAGCGCTGCCCGGACGGGGCCAGCAAGCTGGCGGCCGTGGTGCCTGGTGCCCAAGTGGGGGGAGGACGAGTCAACCTCCCCCGGGGAGTCCCCCTGGGGCCCTGAAGCCGAAGCCTCTGCGGCGCAGGGGCCCTGGGGTGGCCGAGAGTGCCTCCCTGACCCTAAGCTTTCTCCTGGCGCTGCGAGCCCAGGAACCTTCCCATCAGCGCGTCCCCTGCGGGAGCAAACCACGCCCAGGTCACTGCCTCAATGGACGTGTGGAAGGAGCTTCCCCTGCACCTGCCTGCAGGCCACCTGCCCAGGAGGGGCCCACGTCCCTGCTCCAGCCCCAGGAAGTTGTGGGTGTTCCCGGCTTGGCCCTGCCGGCCTCTGGGGCCCTTGGTTTTAGGGAGGGGGCCAGGGAGCCTCTGGGGTGCCGAAGCTGGGGGCGCCCAGGTTGAGGGGGAGGCGGCTGGCACCGGCAGTGGTGGCCGCCGGGCCCTCCTCCCCGGAGCAGGCCAGCTGGGGCCCAGCTGGGCCGCTGTTTGCTGTTTACGTGGGAGACGGGGCGGTGGGGGGAGGCCGGGGAGGCTGCCTCCAGGCAAGTTCCAAGTGTAATTGCTCTTGGACACTTCCAGGGATCTGTGTGAAGGCGGCTCTGAAGTCCACCGCCTTATTTGGTGTGGAAATTTGTTTCTTTCAAAAGGGAGGAGAGGTGGCTGTACGCGGAGAGCCGTCGGGTGTGCGGGTTGTCCCGGGGTCCCCATGTCCCACTGAGGCTGGGCTCTGCGGGGAGGGTGGGGAGCCCCCTGGCCGGGGGCGAGGGCCTTGGCGCCTTACCTGTCGGGTGGAGAAAGGAAGGACTCGCAGCGGGAGAGGCAGGGATCAGGCCTCCTGGAGCAGCTCATCGCAGAGGGTGGGGCAGAGACCAGCAGGGCGCCCGCAGGAAGGCATTCCAGGCTCAAGAGCAGCAGGTGCAAAGGCCCTGAGGCGGGGAAGGATGTGGTGTGTTGGGTGAACAGGAAGGGTGACTGGAAGGTGGGCGTGGTGTGCAGTGTGTGTGTGAGTGTGTGAGCGTGTGTGAGATGAGGCGGGCAGCTGGCGGGGTCTCAGCTCCTCCAGCCCAACGTCATTTCTAGCGCCTCCCACATGAACTCTTTCCTGCAAGGAAGCCAAGAACCTTGGGGTCCCTTAGCGCCCCTAGTCCCATCGGTGGGGGGGTGTTGCCACTGTGGGCTGTTACAACTGCGAAGCGAGGGTTACTAGTTCCTAGCGGGCCAGGGACGTGGCTATGCCCCCAAGATACCCACCCCAGCAGAGTCGCGGGTCCGAATTATCAGCTGTGCGGCAGCTGAGACACTTGCTCTCTGGACGCCGGGGCGCTGGAACCTGCGCTCCACCGGGAAGGGCTCCCATGCCAGGGCAGCGGCGGCGCACCTGTCAGAGCCGCTCCCGCTGGGGGCAGTGCGGTTAGCGCTGTGTCCCCAAGGGCGAGTGTGCCAGGGCAGGGCACCGGCCCACCCAGCCTCCCCTGACCCGTCCATCGGGGGTGATGCCGCCGGCGTCAGCTCATAGAAGGGAGACGGCCGCTACGTGCCGGTGGGCCCGGAGGAGGCGCGGCAGCCTCGGCAGGCAGCCAGGAGCTCGTGCCTGGGGTGCGGGGGCTGCCCACCGGCTCCCGCCCTCTCTCCAGGTGGGATCTGCGGCCCCGGCAAGGCCCCGTCCCCAGCGTGGCCCTGGCCTGGAGGGAAGGAAGGTGTGAGCTCGCGGCTCCGGGCCACCGCCCAGCTTGGGCTTGGGTTTTCTGAAATCTCAGAGCTCGGCGCCACGAGGCCTTGCTCTATGAAGGGAAGGGGTGGACGTTCTGGGGCTTTGATCTGGTCCTGAGCCGGGCACCCTCAGCTGGGAACCCCTGCTTGGTCCTCCAGGTGCTCGCGCGCGGCGAGCCGAGGCCGACCCTGCCCACGGGCCGGGCTGCGTGTGTGCCTTTCACCATCGCTTCCTGCCGCGGCCGCTTCCGTGGCCAGGCCCGGCTTTTGGTGGGCCCGGCCCATGCCAGTGCTGGCCGGGAGGAGGAGAAAGCGGCGTCTGGGGCGGGGGTGCTGCTGAGGCTCTCCGCGGGTCCCCCTGGGGCTGGCCCTCCTCCCCCCTGCTGAGCACCTTGCCTGGCTCCTTCCCTACCCCACCCATTTCTCGGGATCCTCATCCAAACCACTCAGCCCCATCCCAGGGTCTTGTCGGGGAGGCGTGTTTGTGCGGGCCAGGCCTGTCAGGGTCCCTCCGCCTCCAGCCTCTGGCCAGGCAACCCGTCACCTCCCCCAGGCTCTTGCTCCTGCCCCCCATCCCGTGGGCCTCGCCCTAGTACCGCCCCCAACACTGCAGCCCTCCCCTCGCCCACCTCCCCCGCTGACCCTGGTCACCCACAGCCCCCTGTGCTGACTGCTTGGCCCCCAACACCACAGGTCCCCCAGGAGCCCCAGATTCTCGTTGCTGCCATGTGTAGGACAGCCCAAAATAGCAAGCTGGCCTGGCTGGCCTGGGAAGCATTTGGCCTCCCCAGGGGCCAGTCCCGGGGGCACGGGTCAAGGGGTTCTCTCACCAACACCCCGCCCATGGCCGCGTGCCCAGCCTGTGAGCTTCTCCTGCAGACTCCAGCCAAGCTGGGGTCCACTGTCCATGTGGCCCGGGCCCAGCACGTGGCCCCTCTGGGCCTCGGCTCCCCAAGTGCAGCTGAAGGCCACCTGGGCCCGGAGTGGGAGTCTGACGCGGGGGACCTGAGAATTCTTCCTGCTCCTAAAGCGCTTCTCCCCCGGGTGGCGCAAGAGGAAGTGAGTGGATGGGCAAGACAGGGGTGAGGGCTATGTGGGCCCCTCTTGCTGCCCCCAGGAGTCACTGCCATCGCGCCCGGCTCGATGCGGTGGAGGCCCAGCGAGGACGGCGCCTGGGCTCTCGCGGCACACCAGCTCGGATCGGAGGGCTCAGCCCAGGGCTCTCCTGCCTTCCAGTCTCCCACGTGCCTGTCGCTGCCCCAGGGCACGGCGGTGGCACCCTTTGTGCGAGTGGGGAGAGCCCCGCGGCCGGGCAGGGAGCAGCGCTCAGCACACGGGACGCACGCGAGCGAGTGTGACAACCGCGCAGCCGCCTCCAGCGAGACCGCGTGGCCGTGCGCAGCTCCTCAGCCAGGGGAGGCCAGCGTGCAGCGGGCGGGCTGCGAGACCAGGGAAGGACCTAAGTAAGAAGCATCTGGTGTGGCCTGGCCTGGCCGGGGACACTTTTGGGTGCTCTCCGGAGTTACTGTACCCCGCCCCCGCCCCGCAGGCTCACCGGGAAGTTTCTTTATTCTCCCTGTAGAGCAAGGCAGAAGCCACTTGCCCAGGGATTGGCACCTGGCCCAGAGGAGCACGGCCTGGGGGCACATGTCTGACATTCAGACTGAGTGTGGCACCGCCTCGGGGTGGTGAGAGGCTCCTGTCCTGGCCCAGGCCTCCAGCACCGGCCGGGGCATCTCCAAGCCGTCCTCGGGCTCGGGGTCAGCGACAGGCAGGGAGGACACTGTCCCCCACTGCCGGCTCCTGGGAGCTGGCGGCAACAAAGAGACGTTTTGTTGCGACACAGCGCACAGCGAGCAGCAGGGGCAGGTTCCTCGCTTATTTATGGTGTTGGGGGCTGGAGAGGAAGGCCACTGTCCCCTTAGGACTCTCAGGCTTGTTTTCCTCCCGGGGCTGGGCAGGGAATGGAGTTCCTGTGCCAAGGACCCTTTTCTCATCTACTTTGCAAACCAATGGCCCTGACTTTGCCCCTAGTGTCGTCGCCCCCACCCCCCACTTGCAAGAGGGAGTGCCTGCCGAGAGCAAAGGATGGTCACCCCAGCGGGCCCTTCCCTGGCCTGACCCGCCGAAGCCTGGCCCCAGCCACCCAGCTCTCCTGGCTTCATCCGCCCGGGCTGGGTCCTGTGCTCCTGGCTCCCTGGTCTCTCTGGGAAGGAGACACAGCGGGACATACATGGAGGAGAGACAGGTGGGGACACCAGCAAGGGACACGCGGTGAGAGACCCGGGGGCTGACCGTGGCAGCCGTTGCCTTGATGTGGTGTCTCTTTTGGTCCAGCTTTCCGGAACCTGCTTCAGAACCCCTTTCCTGTGTTTCCCTGCAAGAAGGTGTCTTAGACTTGGGGTGAGCTTTCAGGCCCAGCATTTCCACTTTGAGCCGACCCTCAAAAATCACACAGCCCCCCTGGATCTCAGTTTCCCCAAGTGAGGACCCAATTACCCAGGGGTGTGGCCCCCCTAAGTACTTGACCAACCCACTTACTGAACGCTAGTGGTGGACTTCGTCCAGATGCAGGCTGTCTGCCCCCCAGGGACAGCACAGAGGCTGCTGAGGTCAGGCCCCACCCATACTTGATTTCTGCTTCCCTTTTGTGAAAGTGCCTTCTGCTGGCCCCACCAGGCTGAACACCGTGAAGTTGCTGAGACTGCCACGCCACCCTGCCTCCTAGCACTCCACGTGGGCCTCCCCAGGTGTGCTCAGAGATCAAAGGGGGGTCTTCAATGGCGATAAGACAGGTTCTGGGGGGCGTGTTTCCATGCCTCTCCATTTTGGGGGGTCCTTTAGGGTCATTCCATGTATCCAAAACTTCTCAGAATAAAAAAAAAAATTATTTTTTTCAGTATTTAATGTGCATGATCCTTGTTTTAAGAAAAACTTGAACCCATGAATACACCCTGCGGTTGCTTGAGGCCCTCCTGGGGTGACCCCACTCTCTTCTTGGGGTGACCCTACTCTCCTCCTGGGGCGGAATGGCCTTTTCCACGGTGCAAGGCTTTCCTTGTCGGTGTGACTTGCGCCTGTGTGTGCCCGTGAGGCGTGTCTTCTTCTGCAGACTTGCAGTTCTCGCCCTCCGCTCCTTCCAACTTAGGAGGATGCACCTTTTTCTTACTGATTTTCAAGAGCTCAGCGGGAGGCAGCTGCTTGGTCCCCACCTCCAGGTTTTCACTTCTGGCCTCAGGTTATACAGGTTAGACAGGATTTTGCAGGTGGAATTTAAGTTCCTCAGCAGCTGATTTTAAAACAAGGAAATGCTGCTGGATTATCCAGGGGCCCAGTGTCATCTTGGGGAGCAGCTGTAAGTACAGAGAAGTGGCCAAGGAGAGATGGGAAGAGCTTGGAAGCACCTTCTCGAGCATCTCATCTGAAGCTTGAGGCGGCTTCACTGCCTTCTTTCTGGCCTGGGGGGGAGGGGTCGTGAGCAAGACATCCAGGGGTCTCTAGCTGCTGAGCATGACCCCAGGCCATATCCAGCAAGGAAAATCTGCCCCCCCCACCCCATGACCAGGCGGACTCTGGCCTCCTGGGGCGGTCAGGTGAGGCCTGCCGAGACCAGGCCTCTGCCGTCCTCCTGACCGTGTTCTACGCTGAGCTGTGGCAGCCGTCACAGTGGTGATGTTAGGGGGAAAAGGATGTCCAACCTGGTAAAAATGTTCATCTGAGACTGCATCCCAACATCCATATATTCGATCTTCATCACCATGGAAATGGTGGCAAAAAGTGAAAGGGGGGAATTGTTAGGGGGAAAGGCTGTCCTAAAGCTAATCCCATACAGGCTTTGTGGACTCCACCCCCACCCCAGGCCAAAGCCAAAGACACTGGGAACTCCACATCCCATCCCCACCCAAGGGAAGGTGGCTGGGACCTGAGGGTGGGGTTCAGCAGTCAGGTTGATGTAAAAGCCAGACACGTGGGCTTTGGGGGCCCCCCATTTTGGCTCCCCGCCAGCTCGCAGCGCCCGGCCAGCTCAGAGAGTGCCTTTGGGTTTCCAGGTCGGCGGATCGGGTAGGACGCATGAAAGACTTTATTTCCCTGTTTTCTCCCTGAGTTGTCCATTTTCCTTATTTCCCTTTCCCTTGTCAATAAACCTTTATGAACCTTTCGCGTGTGCCTGCAGCGGAGTGTTCATAAGTCCCTTGTCAGCGCGCGGTGAGGACCCCCAGCCAGGAACCCGTTCAGGATCGGGGCTGCCCTATAACAGTGACAGAAAACAAGCGCACTAGAGTCCCCCTGGGAACACTGCAGGTGTCTGTGAGCATCTAAGTGCACCCCCACTTACAGTTAATCTTCCCAATGTCAACATCAGAGACAAACACAAGTTCCATTTCGGGGGTCCTTTAGGGTCATTCCCTGTATCCAAAACTCACGTGCAAAACAAAATCCTGGGCGTCGCCCCGGAACTCGGTTGTGGGAGGGCCCAAGAATTTGCGGCGTCCACCAGGGCCGCGTGACGCCGACGCCCGGTCCGCGGCCCGCTCTTTGAGAACGCGCTCCTGCCACTCCCCGCGCAGCCGGAGCGGCGCTGAGCTCCACCCACCGGGGCGTGGCCCGCGGCCCCGCCGCCCCGCCCCGCCGCGAGGCCCGGGCTCTCATTGGCTGCCGGGGCGGGGCGGGGCCGGCGTCGCGGGGCCGCGGCTCCTTCCGCGCCGGCGGGGCACTGCGCCTGCGCGGGCGGCTGCGCCGCGCGTCGGGCTCATGGCGGAGCCCGCGGCGGGGCCGGCGGCCGAGTCGGCGCCGCTCCTGGGCCGCGCGCGCGGCGCCGGGGCCCGCGGCTCCTGGGAGGGCCCCCCCGGCCTCCGCGGCGGCCACGCCGGCCCCGGTGAGCGGCGGCCGGGGCCCGGGTCCCTCCCTGCCCTCCGGCCGGGGCGCGGCCGGGCGCGGGGCGCCGGCGAGGGGGGCGCGCGGGGGCGCGGGGGCCGCAGCCCCGCCGAGTGCCCGGACGGACCGGCCGCGCCCCCGGGCGGCCGGGACTCCTCGGAGGCAGCGCCGCTCTTGGGGCGCCGCGGCTCGGAGGGGGCGTCTCCCGCCCAGGGCGCGCGGCCGGCGGGCGGCCCGCTGGCGGCTCCTCCTCGCGGCCGGCCCGGGAGGCGCTGCTGGGCCGGGGCCGCCTCCCGCGCCGCGCAGCTTCCTCCCGGCTCCCGCCCCCGCGGCCCTTCCTGTTTGCCCGGAGAGGGGGCGAACCCCAACCCGAGGGCCGCCCTGCCGCCGACCCGGGGCACTGGGCTGGGCGCGGGGTTGGCGGGGAAGGGCCCCGCGGTGCCCGGCCCGCAGTCCGGGCCCGGAGGGTGTGCGGGACGCGCCCCTGCTCGCAGCCCTGGGCCCTGGGCCGGTCCCGCGCTGGGCTTCCTCTCCTGTCCCGCAGGTTTCTTCGTGGGTGTCCTGTGGGGTAGTGGGGGCCGGGGCGGGCCCCGCGGGGAGGGGGGACGGGAAGCTGAGGCAGCCCAGAGGCTGCCCTGGGAAGCCTCTCCATGCGGGGAAGCCTCCCCGCATGGAGGCACCGGCTGTGCCGGGGGTTGGGAGCTGCCACTTCCTTGGCTGTGTGGCCTCGGCAGGCTGCCCACCCTGGGGTCTGTGAAAGGGGTGGTCACGGGGTGCCTCAGGGGCACTGGGGGTCCAGAGACTCCAGGGAAACCTCATCCAGGGCCGGTTCTGGGTCAGGTACATGGAGGTCCCGGCCCTGGCAGAGCGGGTGGTGGGTGAGCCCTGCAGCCACGTGGTGAGCTAGAGCCAGGGCCCGGCACTGCTGCGGGGGTGCACGCTCAGGGGGGCTCTTTTGTCCTGGTCCTGGGGCCTCCTCACGGGCCCTGAGAACGTGGACAGGGCGCCCTGTGTTCTGGGCAGTGGGGATTGAGAATGGCTCATTCAGGCTCCACCCAGCTGTCCCCTCGGGCTCCCAGCAGTGTCCTGTGCTGGGGTTTGCAGGAATTCAGCCCGCCCCCCCCCCCAGCTCCTCCTACCAGTGAGGATGGGGCTGCTGCTGCTGGCGCTGCTGTGGGCCCCAGGTTGTGTCTGGTGGATCCTGGAGCAGGAGCTGGGAGGTTAGGACCAGATGTTGGGGAAAGGCTAGGGCCGGGGAGACTGACCCCAGGGCTCATGGCGGGGGACCGGGACGTGCTTGAGCCTCTCCTGTCCACTGCTCTCTGCCGCAGACATTCCACCCCGACATAAGCACTGGTGTGTCCAGTGGGGTGATGGGGTGCAACAGGTGACTGCCACCCAGAGTTGGAGTCCCTGGACTGCTCAGTTGGAGTCTGGGCTGCGGTAGGGCTTGCAGGCTTGGAGAGCTTGGGGGGGAGGTGCGGGGTGGGGTGTGTGGAGGGGTGTATTGTTTAGGGTTGCAGATGGTGCAGGGAGGCCCCCTGGAGGCTGGTGCCATGGGGGCAGGGTGAGCAGGGTGAGAGGGTGGCCAGACCCAGAGTTTTACAGAACAGCCTCTGAGCCAGGCGAGCGGGTTGGGTGAGTGCTGGACAGTTCCAGGGTGGCCAGTGCCCTTGGCCCCAGACAGCTTGCCAGGGCCTGTCCCCTCCAGCCGCACCCCAACCTGGGCCTGCAGTGGCTCTGGCCTCTGGCCACCTGTCTTTCCTAGTCTGAGTAGTTGTATTCTTGTCTTGCTGCGTCCATCTCTTCCCCCTACCTCCCACTCAGTCACCCCGAGCTGTCCTGTGCTCCCTCTTCCACCCTGTCCAGTGCCCTCTGGGGGCTGAGCTGGGTGCCGGTGACACCTGTTTGACAGGGGAGCGACAGGTGCGGGGTTTATGGTGGGGGGTAGGGTCTGAGCCCCCCAGATTTGGTTCTGCCCCTCGCCATGGGCTGCGTGTCCTTGCCATGCTCTGCCGGGGTGGAGCCTCTGGCCCCTGCACACGACAAGAAGACCCCTGGTCCACTCATGTGTGCACGCTGACCCCCATGGGGGAGCAGCATCTCGTAGCAGAGCCTTGGAGAAAGAAACAAACCAGGTTCTTCCTTGACCGCAGCCCTGAGGGGAGCCACGTGACCCCCTTGGTCACCTGCGTCCACCTGATGCCCTTCTACCCCAGGTGCTGCAGCCAGGCGGGCCCTGTACTTGGAGCAGGCTGTGGTCTTCATCGAAGATGCCATCCAGGTGGGTGGCACACCTTGGTGGCCGAGCCGGCTTGTCCCCAGGGCTCTGGGGACTGGGTGCAGGGGCCATGGCCTCGCTGCTGGGCTGTGTGGTCAGCGCCACGTGACAGCTGTGCCCTGCGCACTGTCTCCTTCAGTCCTGGAGGAGGCGCTCGAGTTCCAGGTCATTAATTTCTTGACTTGCACATACCTGGGCTGTTCGTTGCCACCTGCTCCAAGGTCCTGTGAGGAGAGGGGCTGCGGTGGGGGTTAGGGGGCCTCGCAGGTGAGGAGACCCCCTCAGGCAGGTGGCCAGTGCTGTGCATTCGGTAAGTGCCCCTGTGTGTGCCGCCGGCCTGGACTCCACCTCAGGTGCTCAGCGTGTGCGGCACCAGCCTTGCCGCTGGCTCAGGGGAGCTGTCTCCCCTGATGTCTCCCCACTTGTGTGTGTGTCGGGGTGCGGAGGGCGCCCTGCCTGTGGCCCACTGTGCTGTGTGGCACCAGGCCCCCCATGCGCCCGCGACCTCTCATTGCAGTACCGCTCCATCCATCACCGCATGGACGCCCGGTCGCTGTGGCTGTACCGCTGGTACTACTCCAGCGCCTGCCAGTGGTGAGCGGGGGCCCGGCCAGTGGGGGTCTCGGGGGGCTGCTCCCAGGGGGAGGAGCAGGCGCTGCCTCCCGTCACTGAGAGACGCCCAGCCCAGAGGCTAGGGCTCCTTTCCAGAACATTCCGGTCAGCCCTGGCAGTTGAGTTTCCACCAAATACGTGTTCATTGACCCGCGAATGGCCCTGGGCCAGGAGGGTGGGCCGAGCCTGGCCCCGGCCGCCTGCTGCTGACCCCGCGTGGCTGGCCCCTGCCTTTGCACACTTGCGTCCCTTTTCCAGGATCTTGAGCTTCACCATCTTCTTGATCCTGTCCCTGGCGTTCGTCGAGATCCCTTCCTCGTTCACCAGCACCTCGGACGTCCGCTACCGCTCGGCCCCCTGGAGCCCGCCCTGCGGCCTGACGGAGGGCGTGGAGGGGCTCTGCCTGCTGATCTTCGTGGTCGACGTCTCTGTGAAGGTGAGGGGCCCGCAGGCTCGGCAGCCGCGGCTGCCTTTCCTTGACTCTGCACTTTGGCCGGTGGGGCCGAGGCCCGGGCTCCCTGGGAACTGGACCTTGAAGCAGCCGAGGCCTCTCCCCATGGCCCGGCCTCCCGCCCCCACGAGCAGCACAGGAGAAGGGCTGGGGGGGCCAGGGTCTGCTCCGCGCGACTGTGTGTCTGACCGTGGGCTCGCCTCTGGCGCGTGTCCCTGCAGGGGCTGGAGGAGGCCCCGGCCTTGCTCTCTGACGCTGCCGGGCCGGGCCTGAGCCCGAGCGGCTTCCTGTGAGCGCAGCGGCGCGTGCTGTGGCCCTCGGGCCTGTTGCCTCCACCAGCACCGCCCGGCCCACACAGGCGTCAGCGTGCACCTTGCCTGTGGCCAGCCCCGTCCCTCGGTCTGGCGGGCGGGAAGGTGGCCTTGGCCTCTGCTGAGCCTGAGGGGCCCCGGGCAGCGTCTCAACTTCTCCTTTTTCAGCCCATACCGTGATTAGGAGGTCGGGTTAAACTCCAGCTGGAACCAGTGAGACGTTCCCGCGAGCGCGGTGGAACGGCCGCTGCTCTGGGGACGTGTCGGTGGGAGGATGCCCTCGCTCGTGTCTGCGGGCCTGACCTCTGAGGCCGGCGACGGGGACGCGCAAGGGGCAGGCCCTTGACCGCATCCCACCTTCCGAAACCTCAGCCGGGCCAGGGCCGCCCACTGCGCCGCCGCCTGGGTCCCGGTGGTGCTGGGGTTACGCGGAGGTGGTGGGTGGCTAGGCCCAGCAGGCGGGGCCCCGTTACTGATGCGGGAGCGAGGCCAGGCTGGTTAAGTGCCGAGCCAGAGGTCGCTGCTGCCTGGCCTCAGCAGTGGGCAGGCCTCCTGGCCACCTCTCCCTGAGTCCTGCGGAGACCACACTGCCCGGCCCTGCCCCACTGCTCTGGCCACCCAGCCTCGCCTGGCTGCGGGGCCCCAGCGTGCCTGCCTGTGCCAGCTGGCCCGTCTCTTGCAGAGCTACCTGGTCGGGTGGGACCAGTTCCGGCAGAACCCCTGGCTGCTGGCCTACCTGCTGGTGCTGGCCGTGTCTCTGCTTGATTGGGCCGTGTCGCTGAGTCTCCTGTGTCAGGAGGTAGGTAGGGGGTGGCTGGGGCGATGCAGGGTGCAGAGGGCCTGGAGAGTGCTGGGGGCCCAGGCCCTGCCCAGCCCAGCCCGGGCCCTCTCCAGCCCAGCCTGGCCCCTTCCCGGGGTGCCTCCCCTGTGCGGGGGGTCTGTTCCCCTCCACAGGTGAAGACACTAAGGGAGGTAGAAGGGCCTAGGGGTGGCTTCCGGCTCCTCATGGCTGCCTCACCACTCGCTGGGCCCCTTGTGGGCCATGCCCCCGATGGAGCCCCCCAAAGCCCTGTCAGTCAAGGGCCCGTGTGAGCCACAGCCTCCTGCCTCCTGCTTTGCGATTCTGATATTGTCAGGTCCATCCCGTCTGGTGCCTGAATGTTCTGCAGCTTTGAGGCTAAATTGACCCCTGGCACTGCCCAGAGGCTGCTGTGGACCTGGGGTGGGGGGCGAACTGTCTTCCCAGCCACACATGGGCACCTGGCCCAGCGAGCTCTGAGCCCCCTCCCTGCTCCTGCCTGATAGCCGCTGCGGCTCCGCCGGCCCCTGCGGCCCTTCTTCCTGATGCAGAACTCCTCCATGATGAAGAAGACGCTCAAGTGTATCCGCTGGTCGCTGCCGGAGATGGCAAGGTGTGCTCCCGGTGCTCGGCCGGAGGTGTGGGGGGGCCGCCTGCTCCCTGCGGTGTGTGTGCGGGGGTGCTGGGGGGGCTGCCGCAGCTCCCATCTGGGCCGCTATGCTCTGGGACCCAGCATGTGGTCTGTCAGGCCCTGTGGGCACTTTGCCCACCCAGGGCGGTCAGCGGGCAGGTGGCGTGTGGCTTGTGGTTGTGGCACCCCTTGGTGGCCTGTGCAGAACCCCCCCCTCTGCTGCAGGGCTTCCCGCCCCTCCCCCAGCCCCCTCATCGGTGAGATTCTATGAAACACCAGCTCCCCACCCTCAGGCCTCCCTCCCCTGCCCCGTCCCCCCAGGTGGGAGGAACGGCCTTTCACCTAGAGTCCTGGGGTCCCCGGCCGCGCCTCTCAGGGTGGGGTAGCCCCTGGGCTGCAGTTCACTTCCACAGAGAGACTGTCCACAGGGGGTGGGGCCCCGGGCTGAGCCGGGCAGGTCTTGGGTTGGGGGTACAGGGAGCTCCCCAGTGCCCGTGCCCCGCTGAGCTGTGCGTCACCCCCAGCGTCCTGCTGCTGCTGGCGCTCCACCTGAGCCTCTTCACCATGTTCGGGATGCTGCTCTTCACCGGCAAGAAGGTACCCTCCCTTGCCCGACGGGGCCCTGGGGTCCGAGGGGAGCCGCCTGCGAGCCGGGCCTGCTGTGGGGGCTGGGGTGACCGCTGTCCGTGAGGGTGTGCGGCCGCCTGGGCAGCCGTCTGGGGCTGCACTCCCTGAGTCAGGGCCTGTCTGACTGGGGGGCCGGCTGGGGAGCCAGGGGTGCGGCTGGAGGGTGCCTGCTCTGCGGTGCCGGCCCAAGGGGCCCCTCAGTGGCCACGTTTGTCCCAGCAGGACACCGGGCAGGACAGGGAGAGGCTGGCCTACTTCCGCAGCCTGCCGGACGCCCTGACGTCCCTCCTGGTGCTGCTGACCACGGCCAACAACCCTGACGGTGCGCGAGGGCCGGGGGTCCTGGGCGCCCAGCTCAGGCCGGTGGGGCGGGCACTCGGGGGGGCGCAGGTGGGCTCCCCGGTCTTCCGTGCGGAGGACAGTGAGCAGGTGAAGCTCAGTGCTTCCCCCTCCTTCCTTGTGTTTTCCTTTCTCGTTCCTAGTTTCCTTCCTTCTCCTGTCTCCTTCCTGCTCCTCTTTCTCGCCCCGTCCCCTTGTCTCCTGACTCCGGAGAAGCAAGTGGACGGTGTGTGGGCGTCCCTGGGTGGCCCCGCTCGCCCCGCAGGGTCTGCCCGGTGGGGGTGGGCGCAGCCCTGGAGGGCGGCCCTGGCCTCGCCGTCCCGCCGTGCTTGGGGAGCGGCTCTGTCCCCGGGCGGTCCCGGGGGCAGGCTCAGCGTCGGGGTGCTCCTGGTCCCGCACGCGGAGGCGAGAGCTGGGCGTCCGGCAGGGGCGCGCCCCCCTCCAGAAGCAGGCGTGAGCGGGGCCGGCGCAGGGCGCGGGGCCGGCCGCGAGTTCCAGCCTCTCCGCTCCCCTCCCCGGCAGTGATGATCCCGGCGTACTCCTGGAACCGCGCCTACGCGGTCTTCTTCATCGTCTTCACCCTGGTTGGTGAGCCTGGGCCCGTGGGGGTCTCTGGGGTGACAGGCTCCTTGGTGCTTAGGGGTGGGCTCGCTTCCCGACCCGAAGAGGTCACCCCAGTGTCACCTCTGACTTCACCCCTGTGAGACCTCCCTGGTTTGTGGTGTGCGGTCACCCCGACCCGTGACCTTGGCCCTGTGTGGAGGCCGGCAGGCCCGCAGGGTGGACGTGGGGTGCCCCAGGTAGTCCTCCTTGCGGGCGCCCCAGGCCTGCCGGGCCCTGTCCCCCCTTGGGCTGCCCCGCTGTGCTGCAGCCCGTCCGACCGTGGCGTTCCCCCCAGGAAGCTTGTTTCTGATGAACCTGCTGACGGCCATCATCTACAACCAGTTCCGGGGCTACCTGCTGGTGAGGGGCTCAGGGCCGGTGGGGGGCGGTGCACATCCCGGCGGGGGCAGTGCCTTTGCACAGCCCCGGCTCCTCGTGGTGAGAATCGGAGAGGCCTCCCCTGCCCCCTCCGTGCCCCCTTGGGCCTGCCGCCTCGAGGTTCCCTCCCCGCCCTCCCTTAGGAGCACCCTCGCCCCTGCTCCGGTGGTGGCTTCCCGGCCTGGGGGCCCTTTGCCCTCAGGGCTGCCGGGGCAGGGGGGTTGCTGAGCGGCCCCTCAGAGCCCCGTCCCTGCAGAAATCCCTGCAGACCTCTCTGATCCGGAGGCGGCTGGGGACCCGGGCGGCCTTCCAGGTCCTGTCTGCGGCTGCTGAGGGAGTGGCCCCCGCCCAGGGGTGAGTGCTGGGTTCCCGGCCCTCTTCCCCCGGGGCCGGGCCGGGCGATGGTTCAGGCGGTTTCCCAGCCCTGCTGGCTGCGCGGGTGACGGCCCTGGCTTCACGGGGACCATGTCCCACTGCCCCGGGGTTTGCTTAGTTCTGGGGCTCCTCGGCCTCACCCCCCCCACCCCATGCTCACCCTGCTGCCTGGCTCTGGCAGGGGTGATGGGGGCGGGGCCCTTGGGCAAGGCTCCCCGACCCCCAGGATCCCAGGCAGCCTCCACTGCCCCTCCGGCGGGACGGTGTCCCAGTGAGGCTGTGGTGCCAGCCCCTCGTGGAGGCTGGTCGTCGCCCTGGGCCCCACGTCTGCCCAGGACCCTGCAGGGGCTCACCGGCATGTGGGTGTGTTTTCCCACAGAGTTGGGGTTAAGCCCCAGGAGTTCCTGCAGGTGCTTCAGAAAGTCCAGCTGGACAGCACCCGCAAACAGTCCATCATGGAGGTATCAGCCCCCAGCCTGCCCACCCCAGCCTGTGCCCCGGGGCTCCCGTGGGGGCTGGGGGTGTCATTTTAGATCAGCCAGGCCAGCCTCTCTGGGTGGAACTGGGGGGTCATGCGCCCTCCTCTTGGGCCTCTCTTCACCTTGACCCCGCTGACCCCACTGGCCCCAGCTGACCCAGCCGATCCCACTGACCCTGCATGACCCAGCTGACCCCAGCTGACCCCACCGACCCTGAGTCTGCTGACGTGGCTTCCCTCCTCTGCAGAAGGTTCGTTGCTGTGGTGATGACCTGCTGTCCGCTGAGAAGTTTCAGGCTCTCTTTGACGAGTTTGACAAGAGGGTGATTAAAGAGGTGAGCGGCCACCCTGATCACGGCCAGCGCCAGGCCACCCAGTAGTGCAGTGACCACGCCAGGATGTACCTTCCTGGAGTTCTGGGCTTAGTGGGAACAGAAGTAGTCTGGCCCTCGGAAGCTGGGACTTTTGTTCTTGTGGGGTGCACAGGCCAGGCTGACCCAGAGGGACCCCCGATGGATGTCCCGTCTGTGTGTCCTCTGTGGGAGGCGGCGGAGCTGTCCTCTTGTCCTTGTAAGGCCTCCAGGTGGGCCTTGCCGTCCGTTCAGCGTGTGTCCAGGAGACCCCAGAGTGTCTCCGTCAGGACTGAGCGCGTCCTTAGGCTGGGCTGACGGATGGGTGGCGGGGTGGTAGGGACCCCACCCAGAACAGGGGCGGCAGCCGGGCTCAGGGGTTCCGACCTCTGGCTGGTAGATCTGAGTGTGTGTCCCTTCCCAGCACCCCCCGAGGCCCGAGTACCGGTCCCCATTCCTGCGGACCGCCCAGTTCCTTTTCGGCCACCCCTACTTTGACTACCTGGGGAACCTCGTCGCCCTTGGCAACCTGGTGTCCATTTGTGTGAGTGTGGGGGTGCGGTGGGGGTACCCTTCCTGCCCGGCCGGCTGTCGGCGCCCGCCTGCCCACGCCCTGCCGCTCTGGCCCCGCAGGGCTTCCTGGTGAGGGACACGATGGTGCCGCCTGCTGACCGCGACGACTTCGTCCTGGGGGTGAGCTCCGCTCCGCCCGGCCCCACCGCTGCTGAGTTCCTAGCATCGTCCCTCCTGGGGCTTGGGTGACGGGGCCTGTGTTGGGGGGCAGCCCGGCCTCTCTGGGAGGTCTCTGTGCTGTTTCCACGGAGATCAGACTGGGGCCGGTTGGGAGTGGGGGGGATGTCGGGCCCTGGGCCTCTGGGTCAGGGAGCAGGTGAAGCCGGGCGTGGGGTGCGCTGAGGTCACCTCAGGTCACTGAGGACTGGAGTGGGTAAGAAGGGGGCACTGGGGACCGGGTGTGAGGGTGGGCTTGGGCAGAGCAGCCGAGAGGAGAGCCCGGGAGGCGACGGTGCGGGCGGAGACGCGGCTGACCGGGCCTGTGACCTGCGCCCGCAGGTGCTCAGCTGCGGCTTCGTCCTGTATTACCTGCTGGAGGCGCTGCTCAAGCTGCTCGCCCTGGGCCCGGGGGGCTACCTGTCCTACCCCAGCAACCTGTTCGACGGCCTCCTCGCCCTCATCCTGCTGGTAACCTCGGGCACCCCAGGGCAGTGGGCTCAGGGCTCCTGGCTCCCGGGGCAAAGGGCTGGGGTCCCCCCGCCCCGGGTGCACTGCTTCCTGGGTGGTCCTGGAGCGGGCTGCGGGCTGCAGGAGACCGGGTGTGGGGGCAGGCGGGGGACCCGCAGCCCTCTCCGGCTGACAGCTCTGCTCCTCGGTGCGGCCACCACAGCAGGACCTGACGCGGTGGGCAGAGGGACGGGGTCCTGGGGCCGCCGGTGGGCCTTCCCCAGAGCCCGCGGGAGGGGTCACACGTGTGTCGCTCAGGGATCGCGGTGACCTCTGTGGGGCCAGTCCCGGGGCGCTGGAGCAGGAGCGGGGTGAGGCACCGGGCCCCGCCTCCCCCTAGTCCTGCCCTTCACGCGTGCAGCCCCGAGCTTGAGACCAGGGGGTCTTGGGCCGCGGAGGCGCTGACACTTGGAGCCTACCCTGGGGACAGGCCCGAGCTCTGACCTCTGCCCCATCCCCTTTGGGGGTCGCTCCTTGTGGGCGCCCCTGCGTGGCTGTAACGGCGCCTTCTTTTCTCTTGTACCTGAAGGTCCTGGAGGTCTCCACTCTGGCTGTGTACCGCTTCCCGCACCCCGGCTGGTATGTGACTGGGGTGAGGGCCAGCCGCGCCGCCCCCTGGCGCCCCAGGGAAGGGTCTCGGTCCGTGGCCCGGGCCTGCCCACCTGGCAGGCCCGCCTGTGGGGGATGCGGGGAGCAGCCCCTTCTCTCAGTTCTCGGGGGCTCTCTCTTGGGCAGTGCGTTCTCAGAGCGGTGATGGGGGCTGCCGGAGGCCCCCCGAGTGCAGCAGGCTCACCCCAGTCCCAGGATGGACACGCGGCTGGGGTGTGGGGCTGGGTGACCTGTGGGCCCTGGAGTGGGCCTTGGACCTGTTTCTGGCTGAAACTGACGTGGGGGTCACTTCTCTTCTGGCTGCGGCATGTGGGGGCGCGGGGCCCGGGGCTCACTGAACTCAGCTGCCCTTCGAGCCTGCTGCCCGGTCCTGGCACTGAGGCTTGGGCACCTGGGCTGGGCCCCGGGTGCCTTGTGGTGCGGTGGTGGGCCCAGGGCGCGGGGGCTGCTCTCCTAGTGGAGAAGCTGAGGAGCGTGGGGGTCAGCTCCCCGGGGAGGGCTGGTCTCAAGGAAGGGGGCAGGCCCATGCGGCCTGGAGGCCGAGTCGGGCGGCGAGAGCGGGCACTCTGGAGTGCGGCCCCTGCTCCTGGCGCCTGAGGGCTGCTGTGTCCGAAGTGGCCGAGGACCCACATCCCTGCTGCCTGCAGCCGTGGGGGCGGCGTCTGCTGAGGGTTCCCACCGAGTAGGGTGAGAACAGCGAGCGTGGCCATGAAGGTGGCCGGGGCCAGCGGCCGGGAGACGAGGGCAGTGGGGTAGAAGCGGAGGCCGGGCGCGGACGTGGGTCGAGGGCCACGGGGTGGAGGCGGGGCCGGGGGCAGGGTTCTCCGGTCCTGCTGGGGCCTGAGCTGGAGCAGCCGGCGTGCAGGGCCTGTGTCTCCCGTGCAGGCCCGGGCGCTGGGGGCTGTGCCGTGGGCGCGTGCCTTCACCCTCACCCAGCCGGAGCCGCCCCGGTGCTGGCGTCTCTGCGGCTCTGGCCTCCTGTCTCCTCGGCCGCGTCCGGCCTCTCCCAGCCCGCCTCCCTGTCTCCACAGGAAGCCGGGGGTGCAGGGCCTGCTGTCGCTGTGGGACGTGACCCGGCTGGCGAACATGCTCGTCGTGTTCCGGTTCCTGCGCGTCATCCCCAGCGTGAAGGTGCGCCCCCCCGCCCCCGCCCTGTGCCCTGCGCCCCGGGGCTCCGCTCTGGGAGTGGGCGCCCAGGAGGGACAGTCCTGGGTTCTTCTGGGCACCCAGGTGGGCGGTGCTGGAGGCAGCTGCAGCCAGAGTGCCACCCAGTCCTACTCTTCGGGGGAGAGTGCAGGGCTGGCCTGCGGGGGGTGAGGCCCGTCGGGGGTGGTCCCCTGCCCCCCGGCACCTGGGAGGCTGAGCCCTGGAATCTAGCATTTCCCCAGGTGTCCTGAAGTGTCAGGAAGCCCTCGGGCCCTGGCCCCCGCAGCTACTAGTATGAGGGGCAGAGGAACGCATGGCTGGGCGCTTCCAGGCCGCTGCTCAGGAAGGAGGGGGTGCGGCTGGTGGGGGACTCACTTCTGGGACCCCGCTGCAGGCAAGGGGTGCCTCGTGACCCAGCTTTGGGCCCGGAGTGACCAGCCTGGTGGGGAGGAGGTGGGCGGCTGGGAGCTCGGGTCGCAGAGCCAAAGAGCCCAATATCAGGCCCTTTTCCGAGTGTCCAGGTCCTTCCTGCCAAGCCTGCCCTGCCCCGAGGGGCCCGTCCCGCCGGGGCTGTTCCCTTCAGAGGAGCTGGGGTGCTGGTGCAGTGGGGCCACCAGCGGGGCTTCCTGCACCGTGTGAGCAGGGTAACGGGGGTACGCTCGGCCCCCACGCGCGCGTGCACGTGACCGCGTCCAGGCGTGTGAGCGCACTGCCCCGCGCAGCCACGTTTACCGTCCCAACGGGCTCGCTGGTGCCGTCCACATGTGGGTGCCTTGCTGTGACCTCACCCCCGCGCGCCACCTCCCCTCCCCACCGGTGCCGATGTGGCGTGGGGAGGCCAGTCAGGTGGACGGTCACCACTGTGGGGGGCCTTTCTGTGCGGCGCAGCTGGCCAGGCGGGGAGCTGCCTTGGGGGCGCCTGCTGGCTCTGGGGTCCCCTTTTCCAGGCACGACGTGGCCACTTCCAGCGTGCGTTGCTCTGGCTTCCAGCCCAGGGAGCTGTCGGCTGGGGCGGCGGGCGTGCGTTTGGGGCTCTGTGTTCTGGGGCGGGGGCACCAGCGGGGCTGGGACCAAGACCCCGAGTCGGGGTGGCGGGGCGTGGTGTGGGGCTCACAGGCGTGTGCGGTGTGCGTGGTGGGGTGGGGTGGCAGGGCGGCTTCAGCCCGTGCTGTCTTCGTCGCAGCTGATGACCGTGGTGGCCAGCACCATCCTGGACCTGATCAGGAACATGCGGGCGTTCGGTGGCGTCCTGGTGGTGAGTCGGGAGCGTCGGCTGGGCCGGGCCGGGCCGGGCCTGAGGCCCAGTGGACAGGAGAGGGCAGGGTGAGTCCGGAGCTATGCCCTCCTCCCCTGCACCGTGGGGACAGGTCACGGGCCACCCTTCTCTGGGGAGCTGGGCTGCCCGTGGGGCTCCGTGGATGCCCCTGGCGGGTGTGGGGGGCAGGGTGGGACTGTCCCTGCCAGCACCGCCATCCCTGAACCCTCTTCTCTGGGAAGCGCAGAGCGGGCGGGCAGCCTGACATCCCTGGGCTCCCGGTTTTATCTTTGGGGCTCCCCTGGCAGCAGCTCCACCCCTCCTCCCAGCGCCCTCCCTCTGCGGCGGGTGGGTGGCCTGGAGGGGTGCTGGGGTCGTGCGGCTGGGGCTGACCGGGCCGCCCTCCAGGTGGTGTACTACGTCTTCGCCATCGTCGGTGTCGCCCTGTTCCGAGGCGCCATTGTGGCTCCTGGCAACAGCAGGTCAGGGGCTGGCGGGCACCTCGGGGTGTGTGTCTGGGTGCACGGGCGGCCCTGGAAGACCTGGCTCCTCTCTCTGCCTCCTCGCCTCCCTGTGCCCCTCCCAGGCCTGCCTCGAGTCCGGGGGCGCGTTCCCCTGCTGTCCTGTCAGCTCCCCCCGCCTTGGGCCTGCGCCGTCCTCGCAGAGCTGCAGGCGTTTCTTCTCGGCCCCATCTCTGGTTCCAGTGGGACGGGGCGGGGGCAATGCGGGGCCCAGGTGTGGTGCCCAGCCCCTCTGTGACCCAGTGGTGTGTCCCCAGCCTGGTCCCCAACGGCTCCGCGCCCTGCGGCAGCTACGAGCAGCTGGAGTACTGGTCCAACAACTTCGACGACTTCGCGGTGAGTCCGTGCCCCTGCCCCGCCGCAGGCCGCCTGGTCCCCCGCCCCCGGCACCCCCCTGGACCGTGTCTGCCGCCCGCAGGCCGCCCTGGTCACCCTGTGGAACGTGATGGTGGTGAACAACTGGCAGGTCTTCCTGGACGCCTACCGGCGCTACTCGGGCCCGTGAGTGACCCTCCCCTGCCCGGCCCCACCCAGGCGCCCCGGGAGCCTTGGGGCCCCTGGGGGGCTGCGGTGGCCGAGTGCACGAGTCCTGCTTGGAGCCAAGGGCTCAGACCTACCCCTGCCCAGCCCCTGCCCGTCGCCGGCCGCCCGGGCCCCCGGGTGACTCAGCATCCCAGCTCGGGGCATCTGTGCAGGCGGCCACCCCGCTGACCGCCCCCCACGCTCCCCGCAGGTGGTCGAAGCTCTACTTCGTGTCCTGGTGGCTGGTGTCGTCTGTTGTCTGGGTGAACCTGTTTCTGGCTCTCATTCTGGAGGTACTGGGCGTCCCTGCCCGGCTCCTCAGTGGCTTTCTCACGGGCTGGGGGGAGCTCTGCTGGGCTTGTCAGCCCAGCCTCCGGCTGCTGGGGCCTCACGCAGCCCCCCTGATAGGGGAGGACCTTCAGGAGAGCTGGGGTCTCTGCTCCTTTGGGGGCTGGTGCCCTGCTGGCCCGATCCAGGTAGTGGGGGACGGGGCACTTCTCTGCTTCCTGCAGGGGGCCGGGTGGGCTCAGTGCCGGGCCGTGGTGAGGCGTGCTTCACACAGGACACCCCCCCCGCTGCGCCCTTCCCTCCTGCTCCCCAGAACTTCCTTCATAAGTGGGACCGCCGTGGCCAGCTGCAGTCCGCCTCGGAGGACCCGGAGGCCACCTACGAGATGACGGTGGAGCGGCTGTTCCGGTACGGCCCGCGGGGGGCCCATCAGCTGGGGTGGGGGTGGGGGGGCATGGCGGGGTGTCCTCTGACGCCTTGGCCTGTGCATGGGTGGGTGCGCTGTGTGCTGCCCGCTGCCCGGCCCCCGCACCCGCACATCTCCCCGCCTCCCCGCGCAGGGATGTCCTGGAGGAGCCCACGGAGGAGGAGCTGCTGGAGAAGCTGAGCCGCCACCCGCACCTGGGGCTGTGCAGGTGACGGCGCCGGGCAGACCTGGTCGTGGGGGCCGGCGCTGTGGCCGCAGGACACTTTCCACCGAGCAGAACCACTTCGCCCGCCCGAGTCTGGGGACTGAGACCGGGACCTTGGCTGCGGAGCTGGACCCGCCAGCGGCCCACCCGTGCCGCCTGGCCTGGGTGCCCCGTCCTCAGTACTGCTTCAGTGGACTCTGCGCGCAGGGCAGGGCCTTCAGGACAGTCCAGAAAGCAGCGGCATCCCTTGTGCCTTGCAGCGCCCAGTGCCTTCGCTGCTGGCGGCCTTCAGGGACCAGCGGCCACAGGGGGCCGCACGGGTCGGCCAACAGCTGGGGCTTCCCGCTGGGGGTCCCCATGGCCTCACATGGAGGCAGGCCCGTCCGTGTTTGTCTTGTGGCTTGTGCGAGTGGCTCACGGGGTGGGGGCCGGTCCTCCACGTAAGGCAAGGCAGTGGGGTCCTCGTCCTCCCGACTGCCTGTCCTCCGGGCCGGCCGCGGTCATCTGGGTCGTGCGCTGCTCCGAGGCCCTGGCCGGGGTGCCGGTGTGGTGCTGGTGTGGTGCTGTCCATCACGCGGGGCCGCCTTTCCTGACTTGCGTCAGGCTGGGGCGGGGCCCAGAGGGCAGCACCACATGAGCCACCGTCTCTCTCATTGACAGGCTTTCCCCATCAGGTGCTGACTGGAATGAACTAGCGCAGCCCCTGGAGTGTCGAGGAGGGTTAGGGTCTCCTGGGGTGCTGTGCTGACCGGCGACAGCGGCCGCGGGTGCTGAGGGTGGCCTGGGCACGGGGCTGGGTCCGCCGGAGGAAGTGAGTGTCCTTCCAGGGCCCCCCCACCTCGGCGTCCAGGGAAGTGTGGCTGACGTGTCCCGTGCACGTTTATCTGAAGTCCTGGCAGGGACCTGACGTTCCTTAGACTTGGGGGGCTGTGAGGACACTCCACAGGCACAGACACTCCCTGTGCCCCCACAGGCTTCCCTCTGGAGGGCTGGTTTCAGGCGGGGCACCTGCTGGAGCCGTGTCTGGAAGTTACCTTGGCCGCTGTCCACACCGGCTGGGTTTCCACCCCCCGGGGGTGAGCGCCATCTAGCGGGGCGTGGCTGCCGAGCCCCGTTTTTATTACAGGTTAGACCCCGGGTAGCCCGTGGCTCTCCCCGGGTCTGAGGCCTGCGTCCTCTGCGTGTGGTCTGCCGGCTGGTCCGCCCTCAGTGAGCCCGGTTCCGTGGCTACTCCCAGGCCGACGTCTGTGCTGGCCTCCGGCCCGGTGGGCATCTCGGCGGCCACGCTGAGGCTCCACCTGCCTGCCCTTCCTGCTCGTGGGCGGGGCAGCCCCGGGGTCGCGCTGTCCCCTGCGCTGGGCCCTTGCAGCCCCTGGCTGGGAGGAGCGTCTTCCTGTCTCCTCCGGCCGCCCCCCCCTCCCTCCGCTGGGATGCCAGCTCCTCCGGTCTGGCTGTGACCAGAGGGCGGGGGCCTTACCACGAGGCGCCTGACTGGCCTCTGTCCCTGGACCTGGCGGTCCCGACACTCAGACCAGCTTCTGCAGACAGTGGCTCCCAGGCCAGGCTCAGCTCTCCCCTGGCGCGCTCCAGGCTCTGCGTCTTTGTAGCCTGTCCCGCGCCACTGCCCCGTCGCCCAGCTGCGGCGACTCAGCTGGGCTGCTCGGCCCTTCTGCCCTCTGGCCTGCTCCCCTCGCCTGGCCCCCACAGCCCCTGCCTGCCTGGCTCACAGTCCTCTCTGGCCAGCGGGCCCCTTTGTCTCACCTCGGTCCCCGCCATCCGCCTACTGTCCCACGAGTGTCCCCAGCTCCCTGGCGCGAGGAGGTGATGCTGGCTCGTGCTGGGTCTTCCCTGCCTGGCCCCAAGTGAACCATTTGTCTGAGGACCCCCGTTCTGTCATAGAATCTAGGGTCTGAGCCGTTGCAGGGGCGGGGGTGCACCAAGGTGTAGGCAGATGTCCAGTCCCGCCCCCAGAGCAAGCCCTGGCCACCTCGGGCTCGACTGAGCCCTCGTCTGGGCGCCTCCAGTCACCAGGAGCCTGAGTAGAAGACGTCTGGCCCGGGGACAGTGGGGCTTCCCTGCTCCTGGAATAAATGTGATCCCACCCTTCTGGAAAAGAACTTGGTGTGACACCCCTTGCTGAGTGATTCTGCAGGGTACCCTCTGGGGAGTGCCTGCTGGGTGTGCCTGGTGTCTGGGTGCTCAGAGCCCTGGTGGGAGGTGGGTGCAGCGTGACGCTGCAGATGCCGCTGTACGGAGCGGCAGCCATCTTTGGAATATTACACAGCAGTGAACACGACGCAAAGCAACCTGCCAAAGAAACCTGGGAACAGCATTGAGTGACAAAGCGAGTCCCTGAGGACTCCCCACAGCGTGATGCCATTTACCTGAGATTCAAAGGCAAAATGAAACAGTGTTCTGTGTGGGCGTGCACGCAGGGCCGTGAGGTTGCTGAAAAATAAACTCCAGGGGACTGTGAGCCTGGGTCCAGCGGGCGGGTCTGGGTGCGCGGGGACGGGACGAGACACCTCCCGGGGGTGTCAGATGCGCTCGACGTCCTCTTGCGGGTGGGGCAGGGGTCGCCGTCCCCGCTGTCGACCTGCTCCATGTCCGCAGAGGCTGCTCTTGTGCCTGGGTGTGCCGAGTATGAGACGCGGTGAAGGAGGGTCCCAGCGGGCCTGCGGGCGTCGAGCAGGGGCTCCTCCAAGGAACCGCAGTGGTGAAGGGTGCGGGTGGGCGTGCGGGGACTCCCTGGGCTGCTGGGGAGACCCGGGTGCAGCAAGGCGCGGCAGGGAGTCGGGCTGGCTGGGGCTGTGCACCTCCAGTGGCCAGAGCCGGTGCCTCCAGCCATGGGGGCTGCTCCCGGCCTCCCCCCCGTGGGCTGGCCCTGGCCCTGGCAGCTGGACAGTGTCCAGCACCCGGGTCCAATCTGTCGCCGGGATCCGGGGGCAGAGCCACAGCAGGCGGGCCGGCCTTTCATGTGGCCCTGTCTGCCTGGCACAGCAGGGGGACCTTGCCCTGCCTTTCACCAAGGCGGCGGGATTTGGTTTCCTGCCTCTGAGATAATTGGTGGTTCTTGTTAAAAGGTTAGAACAATTCCTTGATAAAGAAAAACAAAAAAAACCCCAAAAGTGGAAAGCGGGCCCACCGCACCGCTCTTAAAAACAAGGAGGAGGCGTGGGCTCCACGCCCCTGGCATCGCGGTGGCCAGCAGGCGGCCGCGGGCAGCGCCCTCCCCACCCCGTGGGTGGCTGCTCCGGTAACGCGATCGGGGCTGCGGCGGCCGCCACACCTGCGGGCCTAGCGGGCCGGCTGCGCCCGCGCCCACAGCAGTTGGCTAATCCGAGCCCGGGCCCCAGCCACACCTGTCGCCAGGTGAGCCAGGGGCCTTCCCCCCTCCCTGGCCGCGGCTGACAGGCATTTCGGCCGGTGGGAGCGACGGGCGGCTCACCGGTGTGCAGCGCGCCGGGGGAGCGTCTGCGCGGCTGCTGAGAGCGGCTCCGAGGGCGTGGGCCTGCTGCCAGGCCCCCAGAGGGGTGCGTTAAAGTGCAGGCTCCTGGGCCTGCCCCTGGGCTGCCAGCCTCTCCAGCAAGTTCCCAGGGTGCTGCCCGGGCCCAGTGTACTGGGAGGGCTGGCTGGGCGAGGCCCTCCTCTGCTCTCCTCCTACCCTGAGGGATGCAGGGAGCAGGATCCCCGTTTCAGGGCAGCAGCCCTCCTTTCAGGGAGCCCAGAGCTGCCCACACCGCCCCTGCCAGGCAGAGGGGTCCTCAAGAGGGGCCGCTGCCCAGCCTCTTCTGCCATGGCCAGCAGGGTCCAGGCCGGACATGGCCACCTGCTGCCCTCCGCCTCCCTGCCATTCGCCCAGCTCTGGGTACACCCTGGAAGCTGGGCATGGGTAACCCGGCTGGACCCCCACGGGCTGTACGAACAGAACCGGGGGCCTGCCCAGCCTCCGTGCAGGGCAGAGTGAGGAGACCCACAGGGTCCCTGGGCACCAAGGGGTAGTGATGGGGGCCCAGCTTCCGTGGGGGTACTGCTGCCCCTTCTGCTCTGACCCTGTGCTGTGCGGCTCCCCCAGAGTGCAGGTGTCTCCCTCCCTCCCTGTACCCCCAGGGCCTGGCGGCATGGGGATGTAGGGGCCCCTCGGGTGGTCTCGGGGAATGTGTGCGTGCACCGAGCTTTCCATGCCATGCAATGCCGCCAGGAGCGGGGCGCCCCCTGGGAGCGGATGTGGGTGCGGGACGGGGTTGCTGGAGGAAGCAGGGCTGCCTTTGCCCGGGGACTTGCGGCTCCACCATCAGGCTCCTCACAGCTGGGCCACTGTCTCTACCTCCCAGTAGCGGGACGGAGGCACAGCTGGCTCAGGGGCCCTGCCCACAGCCTGCGGGCAGGAGCCCAGAGCTGCCACAGCCTGGCCGCCTCCGCCCAGTCCCCAGGGCCCTGCCCAGCCTCGGTGTCGGTGTCTGGGTCCTAGGGGACTCGGCCTCTCTGCTCATGCCTCCGCTGCCGATGGGCCTCCCTGTTAGCGGTCACGCTGAGCTTGGCGGTGACGGAGGCAGGGCCACACCTTCCCTTGGGGCCCCCAGATGGTGCTGAGCAGCCCCCTCCCTCCAAAGAGGTGTGCACTGGGAAGCGGCCCATGCAGACCCAGCACCCGAGGGTGGGCTCAGAGCCCCACAGGGCTTGCTGGGGGCCTGGGCAGGCACCTTGTCAATCCAGCTGCTGCCCCCTGTCTGGCTTTGGGGACAGGAGGTGCAGTTCTTCATGCTGCCCTGCTGGCGGTGTGCTGTGGGGGGCAGAAGTGATTTGCATACAGGTGAGGTCCTGAGACAGACCCTGGGCGGCCAGAGGTGGGGCCACGTAGAGGGCCAGGTAGGTGGGCCCTACCTGGAGAGACGCAGTATCTGGACCGGCCAGCAGGGGGCAGCAGAGCTCCAGCAGCAGGAGCCCCCGACCCTGGCCTGCCAGCCTGAGGTCCAGCACCAGGCGCCGCTGACCGCGGGAAGCAGGGCAGTTACCCCCGGCGCAGCCTCCGTCCCTGTGTTCTCCACAAAGGTGTTCTCACCACGACAGCCTTCCTCGACCCCCTCACTGTGCTGGGAGCTTCCTCGGGCCCCGCAGCTTGGCTGCCTGTGCACACGGACCCTCCAGTTGCTCACCAGGGATGAGCCTCAGGGATGCTGGGGCCCGTGTAGTGCCAGTGTCCAAGCCCAAGTAGACAGGGCCTCTTCCTGGGGGTGCAGGTGGGCTGCCCAGGGCCGGCGCATGTGGGGGAGCCGTCCGCAGGCGTGGGAGGGCCCTGCTGTGCACATGGGGAAATCTGGGTGTCAGGGCCGGAGGGGAGGCCCCCACTCCCCACAGCTGTCCCTTGTAAGTGCGCTGACAGCGAGGGAGGAACCGGAAACCCTGGCTGCCAGGTGGGTGCCAGTTAGGCAGGTGCCAGGGGTCTTCAGTGTGTGCCCTCCCCACGGTCAATTGAGTGTGTGCCCCTGCGCCTTTGCATATGTCCTCCCCAGCAGAACCCTATGTGGGTCAGCCTGGCCACCCTCCCTGCTGGCCTGGCCAGTCTCCTTAGCATTTGGGGGCTGTAGTATATATTTGGGGGGGGGTTACCTGTCTATTGTTTGCCTCCCTGAGGTCAAGGACTTCAGTCACTCACTGCTGAGTCCCCAGTGAGGAGCTTAGTGTGTGTCCTGAGCGCTCTGCCTTATCTGTTGACTGGGCGACGCATGACAAGGAGGGGGGTGCCACCCTGGGCCCGCCCGGGCCGTTATCTGAGCAGCTGGTGGTGGCGGGGTGAGGTGCCTCCCTTCCCTTCATGGACCCTAACTCCGGGTGCAGGTGGCCGGGGCTCCTGGCTGTTGCCGGGGCTGTCCTGCACTGAGGGGTGGGCTCTCCTGGACCTCTTGCTGGAGAGGCTGTTTCCTGTGCAGGGGCAGCGGCCAGCAGGGCTCCAGCTGGACCTGGGGGCGTGGGGAGGCTGAGGTCGGAGAACGGCAGCTCCTGGCTGTGGGCAGCGGACACCCCAGAACACCACCCCCAGGGCTCCAGGACCCGCAGGTACTGCTCGGTGGGGAATTGGGAACCTCGCCTTTGTTCCAGCACAAACTCACCCACCCCCAGCTGCCCACAGTGGAGCGGTCCCACGGGCAGGTGGGAGGCACCCGCCAGCCCCACAAGCCCCATGAGCTGGGGTGTCGTACACCCCAAGCTGGGGTGGGTCTGCACGCTGGGTGGCCTGGCACAGAGGTGGGGTCTCCAGCGAGGCGGCCAGAAGTCAGAGCAGAGGTCAAGGTGTCCCAAGGATGCTCCGGGGGGGCCTCCCTGCCAGGCTCTCGACATCCCTCGCCATTACCCGCTTCTCCCGTGCGTCCTTGAGCCTCACTCGGACGCAGTCCCTGGGTTTAGGTCCCCCGTGTGGCCTCGCCTGGACGTCACCCTCTGCCCTCTGGTCACACGCTGAGGCTCTGGGTGGCCCTGAATGTGGGGGCACGGTTGGCCGGGAACGGGGTTTCTCCGGGAGCGGTGGTCACCGGGACAGCTCTTCTTGCCCGGTGTGGTGGCCGCTGGAGCCCAGCGAGTGGACGTGCGGATGAGGCAGGATGTGAGTGGACAGGGCGCGGGCTCCAGGGGCAGTGTGGGGGGCCAGGGCTTCGGTCTCGTCCAGTCTGGGCCTGTTTGGTCACTGATGGGCCTCGGTCCCCAAGTCTGCAGCGGGGGTCTGCCCCACGAGTCAGCGCTGCAGCAAACGGGCAGGCGGGGGGCCATCCCCAGCGAGCAGGGACACGGCTCCTGGGTGGCCGGCCCGGTGGGGACAGGCGGGGGAGGGCTCGAGCCTGGGGCCGGCTGCAGGCCAGCCTCTGCCTGCCTTGCTGAGCACGGTGGGTCCTGGCCGCTTAGAGACGGTCAAGGAGGGTCTCCCTGATAGGAGGAGCCCTGAGCACCCCCAAGACAAATGGGGGACCCCAAGACCAGCCTGACCTGGAAGGTAAGCGCCCCGCGGGGGCAGCGAGGATGGGGTCCAGAAGGGAAAGTGCGGGGCTGCAGGACATCGGCAGGCTGCGTCCACGTTGAGCCTCGGCCGCATGTGTCTGTGGTCAGAGGATACTCCGGGCAGCGCCACCGCCCTGGCCCCATGCCCTCCCCCCACTGTGGAAGGCAGGCAGAAGGGCGTCCTGGGGGGAATTTCTCTCTGTGGGTGTCTCGGGACTCCCTGTGCCCACGCTGACCTCCTGGAGTGAGGGTGACACCGTGCCAGCCGGCCCGCCTCCCTTGCTCAGGCCTCTCGTCAAATAGCTAATGATTGGGGAACACACAGGATGGGGCCCTGGGGGCCCCGCGGGGAGGGGCCCTGCCTGGACCCTTCGTGACTTGGGGCCTTGGAGCTTTCATGGAGATGGGCCCCTCAGCCCAGCGCATCACCCTGCCCAGCTCTGGTGCCCCTGGGGCCCACTTACCTGGCACCGAGTGAGACCCAGGGGCGGCCCAGGGAGGGGCCTTGATGTCAGGACGCCTGACGCTGTGCCAAGGGCCCCAGACCCGCTGCCTGGCGCCAGCCCAAGCCAGCGTCTCAGGGCAGCTCCTGCCAGAGGCTTTGGGGAGACGACACCTTTGACAAATGGCCCATTAGCAGCCTGGGGGGCGGTGGCCCAGCCCCAGGCCTGCCTTGG